ATGTTTTGGAGTAGTTGATATTGACAAATGATTAGATATCAAGTGCTTTAAAAGAGAGAATTTTGTTTTCATACTATGTTTTAGCAAGAGGTTGCGTAACTTCTTTTAATTTTCATGTTATCAATGATTAAAGAAAACTGCGCCTTAATTCACATACTCTGCTATTGTGCTGTCTGGTTTTATACTTCGAATGCAACAGATACACTCTAGCTTTATCTAGCAAAACTTGTTTTTCATTGTTCATTAATGGATGTTTGCAAAGTGTAAAAACAAACAAATAGCCCTATTTTTCGAATCGAGCAGGTTTCGTGTAAGTTTTTTTCATTTAAATATAGCGGCTAAAGCATTTAGATCTCTTGTACAAGAAGTAGTAACTGAATCTGGTGAAACAATGTGTCTCATCAACTTCGCCTTTAGTTAAAAAAGATTTAATATTCATTACTTTTTGTGAATGCTCCATTCCTGTATTCAAATCTTGTATTTCTTATTCCCTCCGGAGAGCCTATTCAAAGAAGGAGCATATCAATTTTGTTTTAAAATACATGCCAGGTGTGCAGTAATATTTTAGAGAAAAAAAACTGTGAACATCCCAGCCGGAGAACACAGGGGACTCCCTTATTCGCCATCTTAGACTTTTTGCAAAAAATGCCTGACGTCAGGTAACTTTTACTTACTTTTATCTGAGTAAACATTTAAACCTAAGGCCTAGGCCCTCTCGGATAAACAATTGGAAACTTTTCTTGCACTTATTCCTTTATTTCAACTCGATCATAAGATCCTCCTTGCCTCTTATTTATAATAAAATATATCGATAGACCCCCTGTCCCCCCATACACATAATTTAAGCCTTAATATAAAAGTTCTGTCGGTCGCGATATCACCGTTTCAACCCATTAGAGTCAGCTCCCTCAGCTTAAAGCAGAGGGTTAACAGCGCTATATCTCAGTGAGTATCGTTGACTAAATGCACAGACGGTAAAAACAAGTCTATAGATTTGGTGCACTTTCAACATAATATTCGTAATTATCAGCATTTTTGACAGCCTTTTTCGCTTTTTTTTTAGCAAGTTTTTTACAAGAATGCTGACCGTATGTTATGTCGTCTGTGTAAGTTAATGCATGACTCAGCTCATGTATTATTATTCCTGCTTTGGTATCAAACCCAACTGACGTTTCTGCCTTATTGAACGCTTTGCAGAAAAAGATTTTTCGTGAGCCAAGGTAAGTGTACGCAAACATATCTTTTTCGCATTTCTTTCCATTAAAGATATATATCATTTCTTTCCGTGCCAATTTCCTTTTCATATCTACGAATACGTTTTTTGCATCAATAGCGGTTTTCCCAAACCAAATTTTAGCTCTTTTGGGATTATTCTCGATATCTTGAATCGCTGACTTTATTTTAGTGTTAGCAGCCAAAATTGCCACTTCTGTTTCGTCTCTCAAGGCTTTAGATCCTCCCTGTATGGAATATTTAATTTCGTTAGATTCTTCTCCTCTCCTATCAAATTCGACGACCAAACCCTCCCGGGTAAGACTTTCCTCGTGAATTTCATTTGATCTTTCAAGAGAACGCGCTCTTTGGCCCAGGGTTCGCTTCATGAAACTTCCATCAACTATCTCGTAACTTACAGAAGAAGATTTCAAATGAACTATGTTAGATTGGATAACTGGCTTTTTAATTACACTACCCATAACATATTCTAAATAAGTGTCCACTGCCATAGAGTACAGGCCGGCTTTGGTCATGTCGTACGCATCTGAAACGTCAAAGGTGGACGACACTGTTTGTCCAGGTTTGACGAGCAAGTATTGGTCAGGGCCTGGAGCGGAGCGCTTCGTGTAAATACCATCGTATCGTAGCTTCTTGCCATTGGTATCGACCGCCAAGCAATTCGATCTCAGTCCATCCAGCGGTGTGCGCCATTTCAGTACTGAATAGTCTTGTTTACCGTTGTTTCTCAAATAGAACTTACATTCATTCTTGTTGATAGTTTTGAAGCTCGGTGGACAATCAAGGAGACAGGAGAATATTCTGTATGAACAAATACCAATTGAAAAAGTATCACTTTTTTATAGTTCTACCTAAACGTGGTATAATGGGTCATATATCCTTGCGTTCAAGCCAATTAAATTCTTGAATTTATTTACTCATTGACGTGGTCTTTTATAGTATCCAAAAGGTAACTTAGCTTCGCCAAATGAAAAGTCCCATCAATATAAATCCCTCCTATGCACCCTTGCAATAGAATTAATCATATTTTTTTAAAAAAAGAAAGGTGTAGCTTATTACATACGTGTTATCAGATTCTACGATTCGTTCTCCATCTGTTATCGTCAGTAGAAGCAATACCCACAAGAATCGCATGATTGGCTGCAAAGAAACAAAGCCTTTTTCAGATTCAACGACATATACTCAAACTAGCCTGCGAGTTATTAGTTCTTTACGAAAAGAGATTTGAAAAGTATATTGTAATTTCAAAATCCCCTGCACGGTCTTAAGGAATACGCTTGATATGGGAGGATTTTTATCTCTCGTTTTTCAACGTGTATTGGTTTTCTTAGAGAAAAACTAACGAATTATTTGACTGAGACAATTGACAATGAAACCACCTATGTACATTTGTACAGCATTTATTTGTGTTTAGTTGAAGATAATTTAGCTTCAATTTAGAATTATCCTGTTAGTTGCGCTATTAGCTGAGCAAATTTCCGTCCACAGTTTTAAAGGAGTTTTTATTGACTACTCAGGTTGCCTTTTTTTTTCTTAGGTCAAGGTATTCCTCTTTTTAAACTGAGTCACTAAGACTTCTTCAAGAATTTGCTATTTTTCATATCGATAACATTCCCATAATGACTCTCCTGAACGCCTTGCGTATTCAACCGAGACTTTGCTTCCCGATATAATCGCCGTCAACAGAACTATTAAATGCAAAACTATTTTGGCAAGGCGGAAAGCCAAATAAAAAAATTTTAACGTAACTTACCAGTCTATGTGCCGCGCGCTCGCTGTCTAATGGTAGCTCTAAATAATGTTTATTGATTCGTTTATGGAAACTAAACAGCGGGGAGAGAACAGTGGCAATGGCAAGAGCATTTTTCATTCCGCATAACAACGGTCTCTCCGCAGCTCATAATACTTATGTTATTCAATATCTGATAATGGATGTGTACGAGCCAAAACCTAAAGCCAAACATTAACCATAAAATTTTGCCTTTGACTTTTGGTTCGGTTTGATTTCCAATTTTTTTACTTGCTACTGCTTCTCGTAATTTTAAAGTTAGTTACTCCTACTAGCAGCAAAAGAAATTAACACAAAAAACTTTGTAATTCCTTGCCCGAGTCACATTTTTCAAGCAAATCAAGTAAGGGCCAATTTTCCAATTATTACCTAAAACTTATCGCATCAGGCTAAGCGATAATTTTTTTTTAATCACAAGCATTATCAAGGTGCTTACAACCAATATGTTTTGCTGAGAATTCGTGATTAGTTTTGTCTGATGCTGTTAGCATACGAGACGGAACTTTGTTAAGGATGTGTTGTGAGGATTAAAATTATTCCTCACTTGATTAATTGAAACTACTGCGAAACTGCAGAGCAACAGGTGATTTCAAAAACCGCGAAAGCACTTAAAGTATTAATTTACAGGCAAACAAACTCATCTGAACAATTTTACTTATTAAGACACTGCATACTATACAAAGACATCCAAGTGTGTTAGAAAACATTTCCCGAGCAACAGCGCTTCTGAATTGTCTCTATGTGAAGAAAAATGCTTTTTTGTCTGCTAGGACTAGATGAATAAATATTTTTTTTAGTGAGGTGGCGTTTCAGCGCGCATTATTAACATCGGCGTTTGAACAATCATTGTGCCAGAACTGTTCAATTCTTCCAAAGAACGAAATAGTAAGTTGAAAACAGCTGCCTGTTTGATACTTGTAAAAAGAATGTAGTTATTTATTACTACAGCTAACAGATATGGGGTTTTCCTCCTATAAACAGCTAGGTCTGCGTAGATAAACTTTCCAGAAGAGAAATTGTTCAATTTTTTCCAACAAGCCCAAATGGAACTGTTCATTCCACAGTGAAAAGGTTAACCTGTATTTTCATTCATCAAAATTAGTAACAAGAAAAAAAAAATTACGAGATTGAAGCCATGCGGAGAACGCTTCCGGCATTTGGCGGGTGTCTATCACTTTTCATGAATAAGGATCATCAAGAATAGTAAAGCTGTGAAGAACGAAGAAAATGGCCTTTCTTATGATGCTTCGTATTCATGCCAGTGCAACGTGTCTTCAGAGCGACCGGAAATGAATTTGGCTCCATTTTTCATTTATTGATCAAACATGTGACTAAAGAAAGAGCGATGACTGAAAAATTAACAAATACGAACAAACTTGAATCATCTAAGAACATTTTATTAATCTGTTCCTTAATCATCTTTTTTTTACATATCTCCTTATTGAGTTATTTCAATTCTACATGCCTACGGTCTTGTGTATTTTTTTAAGATGACAGTCCTGATCCTTCTAAAGATATTACTCTACAGCTGGTCAACTACTTTGATTGTATTAACAACACACGTGAGGGCAGAGGATCCACGGGAAGCTGAGTGAGTGTGATACAAAGAAATAAAATTAGTAGCAAAAAAAGGGAATAGACCAAAAAATGGAAATGAAATGGTAATTTTCGGTTCAGTTAATTGTCATTCACGATGATTCAGACTTATCTGGCTTTAGGGTAGAAAGACATTATATATCATTGTTTTAACAACTTTTATTATCTTAAAAAAATTTTTCTTTTTATTATTTGATAAGAAAAGATGATCATAGGGCACCAATTTAGAAGTTTACTTCTATTCTTGTCATTCAGTAATCATTAATGTTCAAGCATTTTTTCGGGCAAATTTCATTTTTCCTTTTCTAACCCGGAACCTGCATCCTAACACCCCAGAAAAAACGTTTTTATCTATATAGAAGTTTACAGAATTATCATTTATTTCTCTACCAGGCTTTTTTCTGCCTCAGTCGAGTGTCCGCTAACTTCTTATCAAACAAAAGACGAAGTTGGGTGCGACTTCAGTCTAACAAACAACGGTAACCGCGCATATTCCGTGCTAAAATGGAACACACCGCTGAACGACCTAGCCGTGAACGGTCTGACTGTCAGCCGAGACGGAACAGAGCTTAGTCCAGAAGGTATAATGATGAAGAGAGAAGATCCCGGCGCAGGCGCTTTCTTGACCATTGCCGCTGGGGAAACCGTCTCGTCAAAGTTCGATCTTTCTTCTGAATACGACACTACTAAAGCTGGAACATACACTGTAGCAGTAGACCTGTACCTGGAATACGTCGAGGGAAGTGCTGGAAGTCTGCAAGAAACTAAGCTATTTTATCTTTCTTCTCCAGCTGTTAGTTTCCAAGTAGTTCAAAGCAATCAATCTAAGAGAAAATGAGTATATTATGCGCCTTCTTAGGTCAAAAGCAGAAAACAGTATGTAATTTACATGAAAATTAATTAAAGGCTGTGTGTTAATCAACGGACAAATAAATGTGTCTGTTCAGCGTATGCATTAACAGTAAATTGCTGACCTTTTTCACTTTACCGCAAGCCCAAAATCACTTTCTCAAAGACAGCATGGGGTTATGGAGGCCTGGTAAATTAGATTTTGGCAATGAAAAGCTACCCAGGACACCACACGCCATCAGATCACCGCACGCCTTCTTATAGGTAATTGTCGCCCCAAAAAACATCGAAGCTTAAACTTTTCATTTAGTTTTTTGTTTGTTTGTTTGTTTTTTTGTTTGTTTGTTTGTTTTTTTTTTTGTTTGTTTGTTTTTTGCTTGTTTGCTGGTTTTTTTTTTGCCCATTCGCTGGTAACCAACAAACCTATCAACCAGGAGCCACGACAGATGAGTCAGTATTGCCACAAATTGCCTTTCAGTTTTTGAGAGTTGAAGAGGGTCTGAGTTTATAGTGAGAAAGACTAAGGCAATTAGCCGGAAAATTAGTTAAGGGTACAGAAATTTAGTTCACTTGAAACTAAAATTTATGGTCGTTTTCTGATGCAAGACAAAACCATGTTAAGAGGGTCCTGTTCACCCGCTAGAGATTGACTTGATGTAAGCGAGGGGACTAACGAAACACTACTCAAGAGATTTAGTTATGGGTGTTTGTACAAAGACCTATAGTTTTTTTCTCCTAGTTATCCTTGTGGTTTAAATGAAAGTGGTAACCATAATACACTGAAGCAATGAAGAAGGTAGAAGATGATGTTAATATGTGAGTGACGAAGTTGTACTAGGACAAAAAGAACTCAGAGTGCCCCCAATAGGAGTCGAACCGACGATCTTCCGATTAGTACTTCGGAAGCTTTACCACTGAACTAAAGGATTCGCGTGCCAGGCTACGTCGTTTAACTAGGTCTATGATGACAAACTTCGCGCATACTACTAGGATCAGAATGCATTGTTTTCGGTCTTCATACTGGCAACACTTTTCCCCAGTAGACAGGTAAAATTGACTGTGGAGGTAGTTAAACGCGTTATTTCAACAAGCTCAAGCTTTCTCTTTATTTGCCGGCAGGTGTTAGGACTCGATCACGACAATTAAAAGCTATGGCGTCGCCATTAGATATTGGGTAAACTCCGCAGGGACGACGTCTCGCATTATTAAAAATTGAGTATTGAAAGAATCTTAATACTGTTGCACGTTGACCAGATTACGATCGGTGAGCACGTCCTGAAACTCTTTCGAGATTTTGAATTGGTAAATTCGAAAAGGAATATCTGAAGAAAAGATGAAAGATGCCAGCCAAGGATTAAATGAAAATGATTAGGAAGATGAAACTTGAACAAGCAAAAGACCAATGCTCTTAAAAACCCGACTTCGTCTTTTTTATTCTTTTCATATAAAGCTTATCTACCACATTTTTAAATAACAAGCCCACATCTTTATTTATAAGGGAGAATATTCAGTAAAGTAAGAAATACTATGTGAAATATGCACAAGAGTCAAAGGCTTAAGAACTGTTGATGGATGCCTTGTGCATCATCAAACCTCCTCAAGGTGCCATTGGACTAAGAGAACTATCTTAGGGTTAGGGTTAACCCTAAGAGCAGCAGAGCAGCACTCACTAGCTAGAAGAACAACGAAACGGTTTGTCGAAACTGAAAACAATTCACTAGAAACTAATTCTCTATTACTATTGCACCAAACTACCTCTAACACAAAAGAACTAAGCATATAAAGAAAGCAAAAAATGTTACTGCAGTAAGGCATTTTCCCCGAAAAACTGTTTGCGTTGAGGGGGAAAGGGTGTGTTTAGGGAGCTAATTACCAGACATTATTCCGCAAGTTCTCAATGGAATAACCAATCAATGGGGCAAAAAGGACGCATATGGTGGAAAACATCTTGTAGCTATCACGAAAATATATTTTGTCCATGAAAGGAATTTTTAGGAACTATAGTTCTATCTTGTCCTTGATTGTTGGCGTGTCTGAAAGATAGGAAGGGTAAGCAATTCTGCAGTCAAAATAAACGCAAAAAGTATAATGATTGTAATAATAATAATAATAATAATAATAATAAAAATAATAACATGAATAATACTTATAACCGCAAAAGTAATTCCACAACAACAGGATGGCCGTATGACAGCGGGCCACTAAGGGAAGATTGTTTTGAAATTCACCAATCACAGCTGTTGCATACCAGCAAATCACAGGTGAACTTTGTGTTCCAATAGAAAAGTCCGCCGAAGAAGATTCGGAGTATGTAGTCGAAACGTCGCAAACCTCATCAGAAATTGTGAGACAAACGATTTTTCTTCACTAAAACTATTATCATGAGGGGTTGTGGGGTAGGAAAAGCTATGGCTACAGCTAACCCGTGAATTTGGAAAACCCCCTTTCCTGAATCTAAGGGTAGCACCTTAGGCAAGAGCTAGCGGCCACACAGCCACAGCACTTGATGCGTCAGTACGTGAAAATGTATTTTCCCTACCTGTTGGTTCAGTTGACTCTTGACTAACTTTTGAAGATGGCTTCTGTGCAGCTACTCTTTCCTGCAGTCTTCTAACTTCATTGTCCAGATCAGGCCACTCCTTGACGATCCTCACAGCGCCTTGCAGCTTAGGTTCTTTTGTCAAGGGATTATTACACTGGTAGAATTTTAAACAAAGCGTAGATGAGTATGCAATATAACGAACTAATAGATAGATCACGATAAGAGTAAATGAATGACTGAGCTAAGAGTGAACGAAGAAATAAATGGACGAATGCAAAATTGGCCCTTTTTTGACTCGGTTTCCATATTGCTGTTACCAGTTCTGACTCAACTTTATCCGAGCACCAGTTTGAACCATTTTCATCCTTAAAATAGCTTATTGCTTGTTGCTTATTGCATCAATTCAAAAGAAATAGCGTCTCGGTATAGCCCTTTATATATCGTTTTCCTAAAAAAAAAAAAATTTTTAAAAAAAAAGGAACAAACAAACGAACAGATACAAAAAGAACGATGAAAACAAACATGAACTACTCAAATATCCGACCAGTGTGCATGTATAGAAGTAAAAACGACTGCGTTAACAGAAAAAGAGCCCAGTACTAAACTTTAGCTCAATAACAATGAACACATTTCAATTGAGTGTCGTAAACCAAACGGCCAATCAGAACAACGAAAACACACACAAGGTTCCAACAAGAGACCAAAGTCAAAAAATGCAATCGGCCTAAAGCGCGGGAAAACTCGGGTTGGTTTTAGTTTCGCATTTGATCAGCTGAGAAAGTGGCGCTAATTTTCTTGACAAATCACATATCGAAGTAAAGAAAAACCAACACTTAATTAAAAATTGCCCGAAACGAAGATACAATACCAAGTCAATCGCCTTAGCCGTGCTCAGTGACTCGTCATCACACCACGTCTCACACCACAGCCACTCCTGAGGGAGGGATCTGATGGGAACTTGATGGATCATGTTATTAGGTAAGTCCTGTAGAGATTAAGAATAAGAAATGCTAGGAGGAAAAGTTTAACTGAAGCAATGTGGAGTCAGTCGCTCCATCCGTAAGAAGGTCTGTTCGTCCGTTCGTATTTTCGTCTGTATAACAACAACACTCTCTATTCCTGATCCCCAAAATAAATCAAATTACCAATGTTTTTAAAATAAAAATTTTTGCCACTTCGACAATCGCGAAGGAGAATCAACACCGAATCGCAATTTCCTCCGAAATGACGCCCGCGTCCACTGTTCTTTGCACTGTTGGAAAATTATATTCCTGTTCACCACAGTTTTTAGGATGTCTTAATTTTAGAGTCCATCTATAAAATTGTTATGCGTATGCATGACTTAGTCTAGCTCATAGGATGATAACTTCAATTAGATCCTTGTTCTACAAAAATTTAATTCCTGATGGCGTTTGCTCTAAAGCAACAGCATCGAAGTTTAAGTCAAGTCAATTTGTCAAGTCAAATATAACTGGATAATCTATCTCTCACCTGATCGAGGTTGGAAAGACTGTTGGGATCTTGACTCAAGCCCTGATTAACAAATAACAAACAAATTAACTGGATTTCGTCTTCGAACGTCGAATAAAGAAGGAAATAAAAATAAACACAAACTAAGGACAAAGTAAAAAAAACCCAGGCTGATATGAAGCCTCGCCTTCCTTTCGCGGATAAAATTAATGCTTCGCCAACTGAGCTGCCGAGAGGCTCGGAGTTCAAACTACCTCGAAACCTTGATTTTTTCATTTTGGTTTTTTTCTGCAGAGACGTTATTTGCATTTAACCTGTTATAATCAATTCTTCACTTGTCATTGGGTACTTTTTTTGTCTAGGGGTAGTATCAACTCACCTGATACTGTCCTCTTAGCCTGTCACCGGCGGCCAGTCGCCTGAATCGATCCAAGTCTACGACGTACAACGCACTGCAAAAGACAGAGAATAAAAGTAAAAGGTTGGACTAACATCGGCAATTATAACTCTAACTGAACTGCAGTCACTTATAAGGCTGTTCCTCACCTGATGTGATATGGCTTTCCACCCAAGTGACTTCTCCAGTAACCAACATTCCAAAACCTGCAGAAACACAAATGTATTATGGCATCAGCTGCGATAAATGTAATTCAATAAACATTTGGAACATTTTTTTTTTGTCACTGCGGCTTCACCAGTGGTAGAACCTGCAATGGCATCGTAAACAGAGTTGTTCGAAAATAATGTTTAGATCGGGAAATTTTAGAACACCGGGTATGAAGTGTAATGTTGAGTAGTAAGTGGTGAAGGGAGAGGCTTTGGACCTTTACGCCCTATCATCAGTATGCATATTTTCCATTCTGTTCTCTGTACATTTCCCAAGGAGCTGAAAAGGAGAATTTGTTTAACAATCAAGAGCTTCTGTAGTTGGTGATCATTTCCTTTATTCTTGTGGCCTTAATGTGTGATTCAGGGGGGATATTTGTTTGGAGAAATTAGATGTTAGTCAAAGAGGTCAAATGGTTAAGAGAACGCAGGCGTCAAATGATCACAACGTCTCTGTCACAAATCCCTTCCGATCGACGTTAATGCATGTTTTGTCTTTAAAGTAGGGCTGAGGAAAAGTTTCATTTCCAAGCTCGCTCACTTAGCGTTTGTTTAACAAACCAAAACGTTAGTGGGAGGAGAATCTGGGAAAAAACCGCGAAACCACTTTCCTTGTATTATTGATGACGTTACAGTTATATAAATGAACGCTCATTTGAGCTCTGTTTTATGCCTAAATACTTTCCGGGAAAATGATTCTAATATCACGAAATTTATTGCAATAGCAATTAATAAGAGCAGAGGCAAACATACGAGAAAAAAAAATTGTAATAAATTGTAATTTACCTAAAGCCATCCATCTCTTTGCGGCTGCTGCAGAAAGGCGTGTATGCATAGGGTGCTCCATGTAAGTTCATTTCATTCAGCTCTTGTAAGTCAGCTCTTACTATCTGAAAACGTTAAACAATCACAAATATAGCGAGTAAATCATCACTTATAAATTAACAAATCACTAAGCCTTCATAAAAAGAGGAAATGATGGCACCGCCAATTGAAATAAAAGAAAAAAAAGAAGAGTAAGTGTATACAGCGTCCCCACGAATCAAACAAACCATAACAAAAACGGAACTGTAGAGTGAGGAGTTGTCAGGACTGAACGAGATAACACACCTAATGCACCATTTAAAGGTTGAAAAATACTTACTAAATCTGCATCTACGAAGATAATTTTCTTCACGTGGAGCGGAAATAGTACATCCAGAAATAGGATTTTGTATCTAAAAGTCACGAAATAGGAAATTTAAAAAGTGTGATTGATTCGGAAGCGATGAAATGTCCCAAGCACTGGAAGATCATGGCAAATGCAAAGGTTCTGAGCTTATCTTAAAAGAAGTAATTGAGCCAGCTAGTAACTAAGAAAATGCACAATATGTTTTGATAAGAATAAAAAGGACAAGGAGAGGATTTTTCCAGGATGGAAAAGATAGTTGTACTCACCCCCAGATGACCCTCTGCTTCTCCGTTTGTGCGTGAAGCCAGTGAGGCCAGTGATATTGCACAAGTTCATACTCAAAGCCATATTCTTCGGCCATGTGAGGTAGAAACGCCTAGAAAGTAAGTACAACAAAGGTGACTGCCAGTTTTAAGGCTAAAGTTTGGACGAAGGCTAAACGCACAAGACAATATACTTTTATCAACGTACATATACAAAACCTAAAGCACCGCTTTAATGGTACGCTTTCTCTAGTCAAGAAAAACAAATGAACTCCAAAGACATCACTTTTTTAACTCTTCACTAATAATCAAGTTTCAAACTTTTAAAGACCATGCTATATTCACTGGATCGGAAGTAAAATCATTAATCATTACCGTCATAGTTGGGGACAGGAAGTTCTTTAAGAACCAAAACTTCACCGGATTTTTGGTATTCTTCATAACAGTCAACATCATGATTCTGGAAGAAAGAAATTAACAATAATCATGATCACGCTGACGATCGCGCTCACCATCATGATTACACCCGCGCTCGCATTCACGATCACGCTTACGCATAGGTCACGACCACGTTTACGTTTACTTGTGAAAAAGAGTTTGGTCATACGATCAAATGCTCGGCCTGAGATAGGTCGGGCCATTCACGAGGATTCCGTCCGCCTCTCCCTTTCACATAATTATGACATAATGTATAAAGCAGACACAAGAAAACAAGAAACAATATCAATAGAGCTTCCTTTTGTTTACCTCAGAAAACGTTCGTAGAGATGACCGGACGCCACGGAGAAAACGTTGATGGTTTCATCTTTGGGGGCGTCTCCTTTAGTTTCACTGCCAACCATGCTGGGTAAAAAGGAAAATACAGCTCTGTTTCTGGTTATTAACATAAATGCCGCTAACGACCAAGGGAAACAAAAATCGATATTTTTTATGGAATCTAGTTATTAAGCCTGAATATCACGACACTTTGTTGAATAAAGAGGGAAGAAAACGTTTTTGCAGGTCATACTTTTACATCGCAAGCAAGCAAGTAAGCATTACTCCAAGTGTACTGTTAGGATCACGAGGCTTGCATAACTAGCCATAAAGGAGTCGATTTAAGGACGGTTAATGATTCAAACGAATATGACACTCTTATATAGCTGCTCAAGTCGCATTCTTAAACCAGACAACTATCTTTCTATGCAATTGGATTAATGCGTTACCTTACTCGCTTTCAAAAATCTCACAAAGGGAACAGGTGATATAAGGCAAAATAGATTACCTTGATAAAGAGTCCCAGATACCACCCGACGACGCGCTGTCAGAATCACTGAGCAGATCTTTCCCTTCCATGCCTGGTTTTCTCTTGACCTGAACATACGATTAACAACGGTCAGTAAACAACCAGAGTCAATTACCCACAACTAGCGCAGTTTATAGAGGATAGAGCTACTTAAATTACTCTGACTACTCCTCTTGAGGCGATAATGCTCCACAACAGCCCCCCCCCCCTTCAACATTTTGTCAACTTTCCCTGACACTTCGCTCATATTCCTTTTTGGTATAAATCTACTGGCGTTCTATATGCTACTCCGGCTCTATCTAATTGAAGACAGTAAGTAAAGTGAAAGGTCTAATGATGTGCACTTGTAAACAGAAGAAAAACAGGAGCTTATCTTGCTTTTAAGCTTTGAATGTCAGGCGGATTTACACCAATTTAAACAATGAGATAATTCTCTCCCGATTTCTAGGGGTCATAGTTGATTCGGACTTCGCCCTCATCATCTACCACGCGACAGAAATCTTATTGTTACATAGGCCTGGTTGGATAGACGCAGGATATAAAACTAAACTTGTAATTATACTGAGGGATACACACGTAGGACATTTAACAAGAAGGAACCCTCTAATTACATTTACGGAATACATTTTTCCAAACGAAAATTTTTCCATGAAGTCTATCTTACCTTTACTTTGAGCAGTTTTCCAATAAAGCTGTCAATGACGACAGTAAAATGGCCGTCGTCTTCCTTTGTGCTTCCAGAAACACTACAAGTATGAAAATTAACAGACGTTTAGCGATTGAACAGAATAGAGGTTGAAGGATATTACATTGGGTTTCATTTATTTCCCAGGCTTAAGAAGCTTAAGGGGCCAATCAAAGCATATCTGAATTAAATGTAATTGCTCCGTTGATTGCAGAGATGCGCTTTAATTGGTCGAGGATTGCGTCATACCTTGCTTTAATCACTTCGCGCGAGGTGATTATAGCAGGAGCGCTAAATTTCAAAATGGCTGCCTCGCGTTTTGTCAATTGAATGCATAAAGCACAATTTACCTTTCTATCTCGTAAATTTCAGCTGATCTTCCCTCTCGAACCCGTAGAGACCAGGCGCCAGGATAAGCCTTGAGCTGAAAGTATCCCTGTTAAATGCACAAATATTTGGTACAACAATAAATTAACTTAGTAAGCTAACGATTCGTTTTCCAGCAAATAAAGGCGAAAAGCCGAGTTTTAGCCAACACAGTTCTGTAGTTCTTACCAAATTTGCCATGACAATCGTGTCAAACATGGCAGGGTCTCTCGGAGTACCGAGGGTAAATTGCAGTCCTCTGGGGGGCTGTCTAGTGTGAAAGTCGGAGCAGTGTCCTATCGACGAAAAAGGAAATATTAACAAAGGAGAAAGCAGAAAAAAGGCCAAGGTTCCCAGGTTTATTTTTGACGAAAATTCCGACTTTGGGTAAAGGAATAAACAGGCTCTAGGAGTGGTATATGAACTGATTCTCGACAAGTAGTGGTAGCCGTAAAATTGCCACTGCAATTTGAAGGAAATTTAAACTATCACAAATGGCCTGATCTTTAATCATCAGTGTCTTTGAAGAGTGCAACTTAATCCTCTAGTCTTCAAGCTTATTCAACTGTTTCTCTAATTCTACTGTACAAGAGCAAGTGATAGGAATGTCACTGACTTCAAACGCGAAGCTTAGCCAGTATTTCATTAACAAGTTAACCTTTTTACCTTCAATAAAGATATATTCCAAGTCAAACTTTGCTTGTACTTGGTTCTCTACCTGAATACACAGAAACAACACATGTTTCAGTTTAAGGATTAGATCAGACAAGACAAAACAATCAACACACTCTACCAGTATATGCCAACTAGTTGAGCCAAGACAGGAAACATCAGTTTTTGTAGGATCATCAGACGATTTTCTTTTTACCAAATTACTAATGTTACCCTTTTCTTGATTTGTTGTCATTTTTTTCCTTGAAACTTTTTACATTAAGCGAAATAGTAAGGTTGATTGGGTAGTTATGCGTTCGTAGATTTTAGATGCTAAAAGAAGCGCAGGTCGGATATAGAGATTGACGTGCGGAACTGATATAAGCGTTTCTTTTGCCTTTGTAAAATGAATCCTTCCCTTGCCACCTTTCGGCCTTTTGTCAATTTTACCCAACAGTTGCTGGGGCTCAATGCTGCTCTCATACGTTATCCTGAAATTGAGGTGTGGCGCCGTAAGAGACGGTAAACACATCCAGCTATTCGCGAAATTCTAACTAAAATCAATTGAAAAATTCATTTGTTAATTGACGTCTTCTTCGGCGTTTCCGTTCTGACTGCTAAATGTCCCTACAGTGAGAGCGAACTAACCAGTATCTCCCAAATAATTCTTACGTACAAATTTAACTTAAAAGGTCAGTCCTCACCTCCTGTAATTTTATGTTGTCCAAATCGTAAGGAGAGTACACTGCCTCTACCATCCACCCCAGAGGTGTGTCCATATTCATGGTAAGAAGAACTGACTGTGGCATATCAGAGAACACCGCCGCTGGCCCCTCTGTGATGGTGCCGTCCTCATTAAATGTGACTTCGGGCTCTAATACATATCGGTAGAAACGATTAAGAGGCAACTCGGAGAGCTTCTCACGAGAGTTCATGGCAAGCTTGATGTTGACGTTTGTAGCATTTTGAAGGACCTGAAGGAAAGAACAACATGAAAGAAAATTTGCTAACACTGTCCAAGATATTTTATTGCTTACCAAACACTTTCAAAAATATTTTTCTCTAAATTCCTCCGAGCGAGGCCTTTTCCCAAAAAACTCAAAACCCTAAAGTCGAACGAAAAGTTCTAGGATTTCCGTGACCGTCCCCAAAGGCTGTTTAACAGGATTATCCCATAATATTAGCGCAATTATAGCGATTGCCATGCCAAGCTAACTAATACAAACTTCAATCCTTCGGTTATCACAAGTGTGAGCATCCTTCAAATGCAAAGGCAGTGAGTTGGTTTTTGCGCGCTCTGAAGATGGCCGGGCAGAGGGCAAAAAAATTGTTCCAAACCACCTTAAATAACGCAGTTTTAACTACTTATTAAAATAAATAATTGGCCTGAATTGGTCGGTTGATTTGTTGATACTCAGCTGTTCGCGCTTTAGTTCCTCAATAATTTCATCCATTAGTGAAAGTGAAAGAAAAAAGAAAGCTCAAACTTACCATCAGTATCGGTGCAATTTTCTGAGCAGCTGTAAAGAAAAGAGAAATAGGAAATAAATCAACCGATATCGATGAGAAATGCAAGAGGACAAAAACCGATCATGCGAACAGTTTTAGTAGCAAATTCCACACAATGGTTTTTAATGATAGTTACTCCGTCCACTAAAATAATTTCTACAGCCTTTCTTACTCCGTTTCTGTATCACTTATTTAGTGTAAATTTTGGAAAAGTATTTTGTGCAAGTGGGCTTTGTAACTGAGTGGAGTTGGAACCGTAACGATAATTTTCAAAACACAAAGTAACGAAACCAACAGTACCTTGAGACAGAGGATCCAAAACTACCACCACATCAAAACTGGCTCCGTCTTGCTTCGGCTCAATTTTCATGACACTAAGAAAGGAGACACACTTCACTGTTTGGTAGGCCGTTTGGAGCGGGACTGGTGCATTGAAGCAGCGTACGCAATCACGTTTTGTAAACATTTTCAATTAGATCAAATTTTTTACTTTAATGTGGTCGTACACGTTGGATTAAAAAGAAACATGTTGCAATTCTTTTGCGTTGAGCAAAGCTTCATTATTTTTAATGAAACTTGTAAAAAAATGATAGTTCGGTGGGATAAAAAGCAGAAAACAGAACTCAAAACAAGCGACAAAGCGCCACAATCGTGTCACAACTTAGCACCAACTTCTTCTTAAGACAAAGCAGAAACGAAGGACTCAGAATTTTTTCTTTATCTCACGCTCGTGACAAGAGCTCTTTACCAAGCTCAAAACCTACCAACTTTTTATTCTATTTACAAAGCAGAAACAATTCTAATAACATTTCCGTTTCAAGGTAACGCCTCTTTTCACTTCCCTACCTGTGTTCACTGGCTTTTATAGTAATTTGCTGACGAGATCTCTTATCTCGGCAGATCAGCGCAGAGGATACCTTCATGATGATGTCACTTCTAAATTCACTGAAAACGAGACAAAAACACATTAAGAACGCTCCTCTGAACTGGATAACTGTCATGCATTGTATAATTCCAGAATTCTAGCTGTGTGCTGCTATAAACTGGGTTATCAAGCCTCATATTGGGAGCGGAGCAAACTCTACAAGGTTCATCGACCCTGTCAACAAAATTAAATACTACGTTTTTGACGTCTAAACCCTAGCTCGCAAACATTTCAGGAAAAATGCAAATTACCTTGTATCATCATCCGCAGACAAACCATCAAATGTCATTTCATCAATCTGTTGATAAACAGATCCGCAAACTTAAAGTCTGACTCTGCCAAACGGCTACGCAATTATTTTTCAAATGTGGCTTTCGCGTGTAGTTAGTTGGTTTACACATCAAATTATCTTAAAGCGTTTTAAAGGATCGTACCTGGTCTCTAACTTTGCGAGCATACAAGTCCATGTCAAAGTTCTCAAGAAGTTTAAAGTCATCCTCTGTGAACAACGTGTTTCCAGCAAGTGGACCAAGAACCTGTTGAAACAACATTTCAGCTGAAGTGAACTGTGCAGACTAGGGCAAGAACAGGCAAAGAACTACACCGCTTCACACTTACTCTTCCGTTGGTTATAACAGCAGGTTGACCGGGAAGTAGGTTAACAACACCTGTGCAGAAATGCTGGTGTGAGAACAGCTTGCCTTTGAAGGTTTCCCCGTCTGATAACTTTGCTTGTATAGCTTCTAATTTCAAACCCTGATGATAGAGACAAATGTATATAATCAACTAATTTACATCAAAACAACTTCCCTGACAAAAAGGACAAAATGTGTCGCACATCGTAACAAACTGTGTTTTATAGGCTACAGGATATAAAACAATCAGCTCCGCACAAAATAATGTATGATACCTCCACTCTTTAACTTCTTCTTCAAAGAAGAGTAATACTTTCCCTCAATTATCACTCCGTCAATGTTAAAAAAACACAAAAGCTCGTCCAACCTCTTCAAACCAATTTAAACAGGATCGATTCCTCTTTCAGGCGTTAGCTGCAAATTTCGTCATGTGATTCAAATCTGGCATCAACCCATTGTTCTTCAAACATATCCTTTTTGGACTGGCTCCTTTACCTTCCTATCCATTTTGTTAAAACTGTGCTACCTCGTGCATCGCAAAAAAAAGATTTGCAAGCCTCGTGAATCCTCTGCCTCGTTCATTCTGGTTTAATATTTTAACCCTTTAAATCCCATGAATGATCGAGACAAAATTTCTCCCTACATCATAAATAAAATATTAAGCAGACAGGTGATGAGAATAACAAAAAATATCAATCAAGGGATTGTTAGCTGATCCAATACCAAATTCTCCAAACTAACAACATGAGAACTGTATTGCAGACAGTAAGGAGAATTGCTAATGAGATCTTGGGAGTAAAAGAGTTAATTTGTCTGCTTTTCTATCTCATTAGTTTAAAATTCTGTGGTTCCTCGTTGATTGAAGGCAATTTAATTTTCCATGTGGCGACTCGAACTACTCAAACAAAATTCATGCTGCCAATCACACATACCGGTGTTTTCGCCAAAAGGTCTGCCATTGCTTTGGCATCTGAAGACAGCTTATCAAAGTCGTTGCTCTCATCCAGCAAATTCTCCATGAATTTTAACATTGCTGGCGTAACGTGACTCTTTGAAGACATTACAGCCTCCACTGTTCTGGCGATCTGAAGTGATTCTGGGCGATCATCCGTATGTTTTATAGCTGGATTGTGAATGAGCCCCACCCTTACACTTGAAGAGGATTTCTGCAAAGGAAACAATTCTTCAGAACTGAAAAAGGCGAGTTTTCCATAAATTTCAAAGTAAATTTTATTTTCCGCGGAGTACAAGTAGTTCTTTGAGAAAATAAAGCAAGTTTTGCTCGAAGCCTCAGGTGTAAAATAATCAATCAATTCAACGTCGTTCTTATTATACAGAAAGCTTGGTAATTTCTAATGACGCAATGGGGTATGTTCTTTGCATAAACCTAAGTTACATTATGTTTTAGCTTGGTTGAGCTCTTCCTGGACAAAGTCACGGTTTAGTTAAGATGATGGTTTCAGATTTTCTTATTTCAAACAAAATCTTCTTTGAAAAGGCCGACTGTGAATTATTATCGCGCAGTCTTCAGAGCTCCATCATATTAACAAGAGTTACATGGCTAAAAACTAAAAACTCCGATCCTTCTTTGAGAGATTACGGTGGTAACAATCACTGAAGTAGCGACTTACCACTTGTTGGAGGGCTGCTCTGACCAACACTCTTCCTTCTTTGCTGGCCAAGTCAGCAACAACCCAGTTAGTCACAGGTTTTAAACTAAGCTCTTCTATGAAACAAAACAAAACAGCAACCAAACAGTGTCAGCCTAACTACCTGGTAACTTAGGCTTCGTGTCAAAGTGGAGGTCACTACAAAATAAGTACATTTACTTGAACCAATTTAGAATTCATAGTTAGCTAATCTGTTACAATTCACGGCCTTTTCTAATTTCGAGATGCAAACAATCATCAGTGTAAAAAAAAAAAAAACCTTATGTCCCAGAAAAAATAAAAGAACGCTTGAATGTAAAGTAAGGTCTTAATGGTATCAATCTCCACAGCTTTTCCTCTCACCATAGTTAGTTACATTCCTTACAAGAAATGATTATCAATGTCATCATGGCAACTTCAGTCCCACCCTTCTCCCCATGGTTATCTCCATGATCGTCAGCCTATCGTCATTTTATTCTCCGCCCTTAACTTAATCTCCATTTCACCCTCATCCATCCCCATCACGTTCCTTCCTCAGTCCACCTCTTCAACCCTCGTCCGTATCCTTCTTCCATCCATTTCTTCACTGCTATGGCCTCCTATCTTCTTCCGTCTAATAGAATCTCACTTTGATCGTCACCCTCCTTCATTCTCCTCATCTTGCCCGTTTCTGTTCTTACCTTCGTCCTCACCTTCTGTTTTTATCCTAGTCCCGTTCTCCAACCTTAACTTCATCATAATCACTATCACCACTGACTTCCCCTTGTTCCAGATTCTCATTCTCTTAAACATAGATACCATTAAATACAATATTACCTCCTTGTTTGGTGAAGTACTTCAATTCCTTGGCAATAACGGAAGCCATCTGCGAACTATCAAGCTTAGCAAACACTTCAGGATTATTAATATCCTCATCTGTAAAACAGAAAATAAGCAGGTCTTATAATAAAATAATTAACATTTACATTTTTACTAATGATTCATAAATTTCTGTTCAGTAAAGAGAACTGCGGAGATGTTAAAAAACACATGGGGAGGGGGGGATTTTTGCAAACAGGCCTGTTTAACCGCGAGTTTAATTTTAAAGGAGGCTAATGATAAGCCTTCCTTCTCACTTTTCTCTTTTCAGTCTATGAGACTCGGGGTGGATGATATGACTTTTGAGACAGCGCAAGTCAAACAACGACACAGATCATGTTTCTTTTGGGTTTATTTTTTGAGAAGTCTGTATTCACTCCTTTTTCCCGTTTTTTGTTGTTGTGTTATGTTGTTGTTGCTGTTGTTGTTGTTATTGTTTTTTTTTTTGCTTACCTGTACTTGACTGACCACCAGTCAAGTCAACATAAGGTCTCTCCATAGACTGAACCATGCTATTAACTCGAGATACTACGTTTGGTTGACTCATGACATATTCATACACACTGGAGTAGCGATAAACAGAACCCTACAAAACCAACAAAGAAACAATTGAGTGAGGATCTTTTACTGACTCTTTCGCTGCTACAAACCGTACAAGCTCTAACAGTTAACATCTATTCAAAGAGAACACCAACAAAGTTGAATTAGAATTGAGGATGTGATGTTCGCAGTCTGATCAAGAGCTAACGCTCGACACGTCAGTTCTATAAACTCTTTACGGTGGTCAATGTACATTATCAGTTGATAATACTAAATTATCTTGTACTACCCCCCCCACCCCCCCCCCCCCCCAAGACGCAGCATCGCAGTTTCTTTAGAAACTTACCTCCTTTATTCATATAATCACAGTTACACTTCGGGATGAAGTCGTAAAATGCCAAAAAAAAAAACAAACGCACTCCTTTGTCCTTACCAGTTAGTTCACAGTGTCTTAGATAAATAATCTTGCCTAGCACTTTTTCCAAATTGCTAACAGTAATTTTGTCTTACCGAAAACACTGCATGTTGTATGGGGCCTGTTTGAACCATCACCTCCCGCACAACTGCTTCATCTAGATTTTCAAACTGAAAGAAACGTCTTTTTTAGTACATATTTCGCTGTGAAGCAAGTCTAACGTAAGAAATATACCTATCCATGTCACTAACATTTCCATAAATTTCTAGTAACTTCAGGAGCAAAGATGAATCAAATCACCAAAACAAGGGCTACTCTTTTTATCGTTTTATAGCCGAAAATAAGCAATTAACAAGATTGTACTGAAGGATCACCAACCTCTTCGCTGTCGATGGGCACACCATTAAGGATAACTTGAGGCAACTGATGGAATCCTGTCTTGTCAAAGAAACGTTGAGAGGACTAAAAAGCAACACGACTTTCATTAGAAAAGAAACCCTCATGACCTCCATAACGACAGAGTTCATATCACATACTCTAAAATCGCCAGAAGTTTTACCTTTCGATTTTCGTCGTACTCAGAGCCTTCTCCGAACACTTCTTCAGCATCATCTTTGCCAAATAATGATGTAAATGAAGTTAAAACCTTGTCCGCAGTCGGCACATCGCCTTCCGCCAAATTATCATACAACTAAACACAAAAACCATGATTTTAAATCTCATGAAAAATATAACAAGCATAAGCTAACCATAAAATACTCAAGATAAACTATCAATCGAAACAAAACAAATCAGTTGAATAATATTGAAAAATTAATGCGACGACAGTCACGCTGCTTTCAGTATTGAGAATAACATGTCTAAAGTCAAACAATTCAAAACCATTTCCACAAAAATCAACAACTGTTCCACTGACCTTAAGAAGCCAATCAAATGCCTCTCGCGAGTCCTTCTCGGATGAGATGAAGCTAAATGCTCTGGCAATTCCTACAGCTGCATTAGTCTTAGCGTCGACTTCGGCATCCAGGGGAACATCGGCAACCAGTGACAAACCAATTCTGAGAATATCATGAATGCAAAACTTCAGTTATTTCTGTTCGGTTTATTTATTGTCATTGCTTTTCTCGTTTGGCTTTACTTCCCTTTCTATCAGTTTTGTTGCCTGGTCGCTTGCCATTTTTTTTTTTCGCATTGTTGCTTAGTAAACTCGCGTTCGGATCAGTGTTGTAAGAAAACACGTCATGGAAAGTCTCTACGCTATTTCGTTATTCACCCACGAAGTAAACTGAGCTCAACAGAAAGAATGTAGGAAGCGATGGAAAAAGCTTTTGATAAAAGCAAAAGACATTATGTAAAATTCCGAGAGCAAAAATATGACTAAAATTGTTACATTTTGTTCTTATGGGGCTGGTTGAAGACTCGTATTGCAGAAAAAGTGGGTATAACTTGGCGACTGTGTTGTGACTAAACGCAGCTTTCACGCAGATGACAAACCCAACAGACCTTCGAAGACTACAAATGCGGAGCGAAGTATAACAAGATTAGCTGTAAAAAGCGCCGTTAATATGACGATATCGTAAGCTATTTAACTCATAGCACAGTAACCTTATTACGGGTGTATATAAAACTGCGCAAAGTACCTGACTGGAAACGAATTTTGAAGCAATTCATTGACAACCTTGATCAGTTCGATACTCTGGGCATCTAAAGGGTTGACAAACAGAACCTTGAAAGAAAACAAGAAGTCCAAATTACGAAGCGTTTCCACGGAAATGCTTAGTAATTTCAATGAACATACATGTAACATGCTTAAACATTGTGAGTGCCGTCAACATCCATGTAAAATCATCTGACTAAGATTTAAAACTAGTTCTTCAGTCTTTCATGTATGGCGATTGCTCATTTTCCATTTAAGTACTTTGTTGTATATACAGCTACAATCTTGTAAAGTTTCTATTTTTATATACCCTGACTTGGTAGTTTAACGTGCTATACTGATTTAATCTTACAGGAATTTCTATCCTTGATTCTTAGCCTGATAAAACACTGGGGATTTACACTCCATTACAGTTTTACTAACTATCAGCTTTCTTATCGAAATATAGCACAGCAGACAACGTTACCAAATTGAATATGTTCTTGGCAATATAGCGCATCATCCCAGGGAAGGTTGGTCGTAGTATCTGTCAACAAAAACAGGAGAAAATAAAACCTAAATAGCAGGTTTTTGAAAGACAAACAGGTTGAAAACAACAACAACAACAACAACAACAACAACAGGCAAGAGGAACACAGAACCAGACCTTCAGTACTTACCTCCTGTAGTTCAGAAGGCCAACCCCAATACTGCCGATCTTTTTCAAGGTCGTTTATAAACTAGCGATGATAAAATAAGCAAATACAGTCACCAGACTATTTACAAGGAAGTCAGATTTAAAAATTACATTTTGCATCGCGACAAAGCAATATCGATAACTCACATAGACTTACCACAATGGAGTCGTGTCTTGCATCCAAAACAAATGATTCATGCTCTGGTTGAGAGGCAAGAGACACAAGTTTACCGAGAGGTTCACCCTGAAGAAAAAACATCGTTACGAAGAAAAGATGTCAATTGTCTTGTCAGGAGAATAGGACAAAGAAAAAAACCTGAGACCATCACGAGCAATCGAACCCCAGATCTTCATGTCAAAAGGTTGTGCCGGAGACTCAATTTGGATTACATACTTTTTATAACTTGAAAATGTATTTTAGATGACACAGGAGCATGTCAAAAGGTTGTGCCAGAGACTCAGTTTGGATTACATACTTTTTATATCTTGAAAATAAAATGTATTTTAGATGACACAAGAGTGTCTTCATCGACCCTACCTTGATGCCCAGGGAAGAGAGTCTGTCAATCGCTAGTGCTTCACCGCGTAACAAATCTAACAAACTACAAGATACAAATCTTGATCAAATTTTATAAATTATACGGACAACAGCTCCTAAAACTGCTCTGCCAGCATTCATACGGCAGCAGGGTTCAAACTTGTGACCGCCTAAAAGGGCGGGTAATACTATCCAACGGATGAATCGTCATCCAGAGGATGAGTGTTAACAAAACGCACTGCGCTATCCACCGAATAGAGATTTAGCCAGTAGATAGCGTTATTCACCCTTCGAACAACTGGGACCTGGACGTCGATGCGAAAGAAATAATTAATTCACTTTCAGCGACCAGCACTTTAATGCTACCAGTTGAAAGTGAAATAATAATCTCTGGTTTCCCTGTGACCCATAAATGATCAAATACTCACTGAAAAGGATCAAGATCGTCCACTTGGACCAGAAGGCCATTTATCAACAAAGCACTGTCTCCAGGATCCAGTCCAAATTGTGAAAAATGCTAGAGCAAAATGGAGCAAAAAAACATTTAGATGCATAGACACTGGACTGATGGTTAGTGGTCTGAGGGGGTAACTACATGACAACTTTGCAAAAAATTTTGCATCCGAATGCTATAGTTCCTAATTATTTTGTATCTGCTTGATCTTCTTCGGCCAGTGCAATAAACTTGAAAACCAGGGGCTATATGAGGAAACAGAACATGACTCTAATTCACATATAAGAAAGCAAGAGAATTGTGTTCCACTTTTTGCGTTAAGCAAAATATTACACCTGACCAAGATGTTCGGATTTTTTTTTTTCAAATCCCCATTACCTAACCAGGGCTACTAAACCTGCAAAAAGTTACAGATTATCTACACATGACGTGAAGAAAGGTTGCAGCATGGGACACCAACACCAATTTTGGAATATCTCTTTGATTAGAATTTGTGCAGGTCACCATTGAGAGAAAATGAATTGTTTTAAGATTGGAAGCAATACACACGTAGAACACAGTGGAAGATGATTTCTGTAGCGAATTTTTACTTAATTTGGTCGGCCTTACAGAATCGTTCAGGAAAACCTAGGTGTAAACAAGAACACGTAAATATAAAAGTATATTGCCACAAGGACGAAAAGAATTTTTTTAAACTACTAACCTTTTGATTAAGTTTGATCTCTTTCCTCATTTCTTCTTTAACCTTTGTCTTCACTAACGATCTAGGATTGAAAATAACAAGTAAATAATCAACGAAAAGAAAACGAAAACTGCAGAAATGAAAGAAGATGTCTCCTACAAACCTGGTTTGCATGGGAAGATTTTGACTGATGTCTCTCAGCACTTTCAAAGCTCTTTGTGGTTCAGAGGACATGACCCGTTGTGCTGCCTGGAAACTCAGATCTGATGGTAAAAATAAAAAAAAATCTCACCCTACCAGGTTTAAGCAGAATTATCTGTCAAAGTTGAATGGGATTCATGGAAAAGTAAGTGATTTCTGTGGATTCTCCTACCAAATTGTCTTATATTCCTGTTAGAAACACAGGGAGCTCCAAGCAACCCTTCATTTTTTGACATGAAGTTATTATGAAGGCAACTACTAGAAATATTTTTTTCATAATTTCACTTTGAGCTATTCAGGGCAGTAGTGTCTAATATTGGACACAGTCTAAAGAGTCTAAAATCATTCGATCCTGATGTCTAATGTAGGACACCACTGTATAAAATTGGACACTGCTGTCTAAGATCATACACACTAATGTCTACATTTGGATACTTATGTCTAAAATGGGACACTGGTGTCTAAAATTGGACACTAGTGTCTAGAATTGGACACTAGTGTCTAAAATTGGACTCTGTTGTCTAAAATTGGACTCTGGTGTCTCAAATCAGATATAAGTATCTAAAATTGAACAGCAGTGTCTAAAATCGGACAGCAGTGTCAAAAATTAGACAGCAGTGTCTCAAATCAAACAGCAGTGTCTAAAATCGGAAGGCAATGTCTAAAATCAGGCTGTAGTGTCCTAAATTGAGAACTAGCATCTTCTGTCCTTTTTGCAGATTTCCTGATACTGTGGGAAGGTTATTACTGGTTTATTATTACACCGTGATTTAGTCTTTACTAAGTGACTTTTCAGTCTTTGGTACCAATTACTGTCTAATGATTACAACATCGGTGATATGATACACTGCCTTTATATTTGGGGCCTGATTTTAATAAAACTCCTCATACCTTGCAATTGCCAGACTTTCAAAGGAGCCATCTCATGTGCACTTTCCTTTAAGTGTGCCCTGAACTGATCAAGATTTTCTTTTAGGTCTGGATAGAGTTTCCTATGAGTAAATATTAGTTTGTAGAGTGTGATAACAAAATTATATTTTTTAATTTACTCTATGAATAATCTGATAAAAAAGATTCTAACTGAGGTCAGAGGTGTTTTAGACCATCAAGACATAAAAGCAAACTCTGTTAAAGATATGTGAAGTCTGCACACACTCCAATCATCACCAAAGCCAAAGTTTTTTTTTCCTGTCTCATAGAATGAAGTGGCTAAAGGTACAGTTACTCCCCCTAAATAAGATGCCTGTCATCATTTCCTCAGGTTTCCCTAACAATTTACTTCTCCATGTTTGTACCCATGGACAGAGAGAGTACTTTGTCCAGCCCAAGAACACAACACAATGACCAACCAGGTCTCAAATCCACATTTCAGGGTTCCTGAGTTAGCAGGACACTAACCACTATGCCACAGCATCTCCTCATCACAGACAAACCCTTCGCATTTTGTAAGGTTCCTAGACAGTTCTCTAGCTCCCATTTACACTCCTGGATAGAGTGAGGTACAGATAGGACACAGGACACAGAAAGGACACAACAAAGTGTCTCTGACCATTTCTTGATTTATCCATTCAGAGTTCAGTGGTTAGCTATTAGGCAACACCCACTATCAATGGCAAACTTAAGTCATTGCACATAGTTGCACAAACCTTAACTTTCCAAAGAGGAATCCTTCAACTTCATCTTCATCTTCTTCCTCTTGTTTCTGTACCTCTCCTTCTGCATCATCTTTCACTTTACTGTCATCCATGGCTTTGTACTCTGTTTTCTTGACAGCCAGTTCCACACCATATCCTGATAATCTCATTTTTCTCTCTGATGATGACTAAGTGATATGACCAGTTACAAAATTACATTTAGGGCAATTTCTGAGTAAATGTAGATTTGATATTGTGAGGAGAAATTCCTTTTTTGGTCACTTTAGAAAAGGAAAGGGCTAGCACAGAGGTTCCATTAAAAGCCTGTGTCTGAGGATGGGCTGACACTGATACCAAATACTAAATACGATCAATACCAACGTCTGATCAGAAAACACCGATACTGGTGTAAAGTATCAATGGTTTTGATCCTGCACATGACCGGCCAGCACAGTCTGGCTCACACCTGCCTCTAACTGCCAATAAAGAGCTGAAAAGACTCTAAGCTCGAGTTTGGGCAATGAGCACTGCAGTGTGCCATTTTAAGTGGCATGTGAGCATTTGCAAGAGTGAACTCATCAACAACTGAGAGTTTCTACTTTAGTACATCCTTAATCTGGTTTTAAATTCTTGACTGTTTTGTTAATGCAATTGTAAAGAAGTGAACACTGTAAACTTAACAGAGCAAGATAACCCTATATTTTGTCAATCAAATCATGTGACTCACCAGTTACCTCAATGACCTCACAGTATCGATACCAATATCAAAGAAAAACCTCAGTATCATATCAATTTGGAAAACAGTCTACAACTGCTTATAAGACCTCTCACTGCCATTTGTTCAGCCAGCGAGCAGAATCTCATGTTTCAGCCTATGTCTCCATCGCAGACAATTAATATGTAAAAAGTTATTCAAACCCCTATTACCAAACAAATTGCTCATCATATCACAGACTTTTCCTACCTCAATATAATGTCGAAGCACATAGTGCACCAGACCATTTTCTGCTAAATTTACAAGTTCCTGATGAAATCTCCAAAAGGATCCTGATCCTATCTTTCCATATAACACAACAGCTATGGAGTTGTTTTCAGATTTAGGATAGTGGTGATCAAATTCAAAACTCTGCACCAAGGGTCTATATTCATTAAGAAGAAAAGACAACAACAAAATGTTTGACTAAAAATATTTAAAAATTACCAATAACAGAATACAATATATATAAAATTTAATTAAAAGAGCAATGTTCTTTCACTGCAAAGCCATTTTGTTTTTCTTGTGCATCTGAAACTTGGGCATTAGAGTTAGAAACATACATGTTTTCTGCTTGTTTGATGAGAGAAACAGCTTCTGTAATGTCACATATTGTGCTACTGCCAAGCTGAACAAAAGCCTCACAGTCTGGTGCTAGGAGATCATGGGCAACCTGATGAAAGAATGAAAAATATACCAAATAAAATCATATAACTGTTGGGTGCAAATGCCTGAGTGTAGATATGCACACTGCAGAGTCATAATGACCCATGGTACTAACAGCTTTGCAATTATGAGTTTTTGATTTCAAACTAAGTTTCAAAACACCTAAATACTGAAAAGCAAAGATAATAACTAACTATTCAGCAGACCTTTTGAAATCTCACCTTATTGAACAGTTCCACCCGGGGAGAATAATACCTCAGTGACAATGAGAATTGCAAGAAATTTAAACCTATCGGAGCTAGCAACTGGCCTGCAGTTTTTAAAACATGTTTATATTCATCTGAAATCAAAATAGAGTAAAACACAACGTTAAAAACTTATTCAACACTGTGGATAACAGCTCAAAACCATCTTTTCACTGTTTACACCCCTTCAGTGACTCACATCTAATTTCTCCTTACAGTATATCATCACTGAATCAAACATTGGGTTGTGAGAATAAAGGAAATGATCCCCAACCTATAAAGTTCTTGATTATTAAAATTCTCCTTGTCAGTACTATAGGAAATGTATAGAGAACAGTATAGAGAAACTGTGTGTTGATGTTACAGCAAAAAGGGTTAAGTAACAACCAGGTGCCAGTTGTTCAAAGGATGGGAAATGCTATCCACTGAACAAATCTCTATCTGGTGGATAGCATATAGTATATTTTGTTCGCACTTATCCCATGAAGAGCAATTTATCCATTAGATAGAGTTATCCAACCTTTGAAAAACTAGAGCCAGGCCTTTTAAACCTTTAACTCTCAGATCAAATTTATAATTCTCCTTACTGTCAACCATACAATTCTTATAATGTTAGTTCAGATAATTTAGTATTGGATCAACTAATTATCCCCAAATGGTTAATTTTCTTTATTCTCATTACTTCTCTGGTTGATATTGTATTGATATTGTAAGGAGAAATTCTGTCTTGGTCACTCATGGGAGTTAAAAGGTTAATGCATGATTAAGTCAATAAAATAACATCAACTGTTGAACTGAAAAATTAGGAATCTTATTCTTTTGTTATCATGACATTGATTGTAGCTCCTTGGTATACTTCACACAATAATTACACCAAAAGAAAATAATCATTCATTACCTAAATCATGACTGAATGATTTATCTTGACATGAATCCACAAACTTCCAAAATTTTTCATTACTCTCTGCTGCTAAATATTCACTGAAATTAAAACAAAAACATCTTATTCCCAGGGTGAGCTGTGTCACAGTACCTATCACTCTTATCCAAAGAGTGAAGGACAATTTTCCAAAATTTCTTGAATATTCAGAAATGTGCAGTTGTCTGCATAGGAGTCTTTTGATCCCCTTGTGCCACCTTCTTTATATCATGGTCTGGTTATTCAAAATTTCTAATCATTATATTCATGTATTATATTCACTCAGCTAAAACACAAAAAAAAAGTGAAAACTAACTAAGAAAGTAGCAATACTATTATAAAAGGGTAATTTAATATTATCCACTGAGTTGATAATAAATGTAATTTGGCCACTGTAAAGGGTTTCAAAGCTGACATTTTGAGCATTAGCCCTTGATCAGAGCAAAGCCCTTCCTTCTCACTCTGATGAAGGGTTAATGCTTGAAAGTCAGCTTTGTAACCCTTTATTGTGGCTAATTTACATTATCACCCTAAATTACCCTGTTCTACTCTACCACAGCAACACAGTTTCTTTAGAAACTTACCCCCTAAACACTATTATAAGACTGGGTACATCTGAACCCTTTAAACAACTTTCAAATAAATGTGTGTAACACTACTTTAGATAATAAAATTCAACACCAATACAATTCTAAAATGACATGAAGCGAAAGAATAGTGTAAAGTTCTGAGTAAATAGGCTTCATAGCAGCTAAATGTCTTAGTATAAATTAGCCCAGGCTGGTGATATTTAGCCAGAGCATTCTATGTAGCTGTAGAAGAGCTCTCATATCTCCAGTCTTAGGAATATCCTGGGAGTTATGCTGTTTTTTATTTGCTTTTATTCTGATTGATTTTGAAATTAACCCTGTTCTCAACCAACCTTGCTTCAAGCAGAAGAGGCGTCGATCCCCATCTTGCATCTAGAGAGGCTATAATTGATTTAGAGCTACTTGATTTGCAAAAGGATTGGTGGACTAACGAAAGAAGGGTAAACAAAGTGGCCACCGTAGTACACATTACCTGCAGAAAGAGTGAAGGAGTTTTAAATCATCTGACGTAGAAAGAGCATGCAGTCGGAAACTTCCGCTAATTTGTTGAACAATTTCGTTGGCGATTATAAATTCTCCTCACCGCAGTACGTACGTTGATTATGTCCGAAAAGTTCCCATAAAAAAATTAAATTTGGGCGGAATGTGCTACATAATATGAAAAAAATCAAAGGTTACATCAATGTACATGTACGCTAGTACGTATTACGTGAATCTTAATTTAAAGCAGCACATTTTTCAATCAATTTCAAACAAATAAAATACCACTTAAAGAAACACAGCTTCATTTAAGATGAGTGTTGGAAAACTTAGGCTGCAAGGTTCAGGTTGAAAAAAATGAGCACAAATCACCGAAAATCTGACTGGCAATAAAGCTTACGCTAGCCGCTCTTCTTTCATTACGAACTGATCATGAATAACTGACATTTGTTGAAGAGTTTTAAAAAACAGATCATTTAACTAATATTACTAAACATAATCATATAAAATACAAGCGGTAAACAATGTATTCATTCAATCTTATATGTCAGGATCCAGCCTTCAACAAAGAAAGAAATCAATACATTTCCTACCCCTGCGTTGCTCAGACACTTTTTGGCCGCCATCTTGGAAAGAGAGCCAATGCAGTGTAACCACGTCGCTGGCATTAATTTTATGTGGGGGAGTGGGAGAAAGTTTCTTTCCAACGTACTTGATGATGAGGCCAGACGATTTCTGTCCCATTGAGCTCATTCCCATTCCTGATATCCCACTTATCTCTCATTTACCATTTACCATCCATTCACTCCCACTAATCCATGGGCCAGGACTTCCTCACAATGACCTTTCGGTACCATTCGTGCTGGAAGGGGCGGGGGGGGAGTAATGCTGACGTGAATTTTTTTTAAAACAAAACTTACTCTAGTTTAGTTATTTTGTATAATAGCAGTGCTTAATGGGTAGCTAAACAGGGAATATCACAGGAAATAAACAATAAGAGAGTACATTCCTTCCCTCGTCTCCACAGACCGAGAAAGCCTGGCACAGTCTACTTTTAGAAGGATTTTAAAAGACACCTTCCGGATGATAGATCGTGCCAACCAATCAAAATGATTTGCTCAATTGCTTTAATTAACTGCCATTCCGAGCCCAAGTGTTTTCAAAAGACAGTGAACAGAGATTTCTAAGTTCTTCTCCTTAATTGTATCGTTAACAGATCACGGTAATTGTTTTAATCCGTCTTTGAGGTTCACAGGTACGACAAGGGGTAGACAATTAATACTGCTAAAGGTAAATCTACCTTTAAAGTGGCTTATATCTTTTCTCTCCTTTATATAAGTTCTGCGATGCTTTATAACCCGATGGTGACGTACCAATATGGATGAATTTGAATGCCCTTCAAACGGCTTTCTTGTGCCACAAAAGAAGTTTCCTTATATGTTTCTTTCAAGTTTGTCCAGTGACATATCTAAGTTCATAGGCAGTGGTGAGATTAAAACAAAGATCATTCATTTTCAAAATATTTGTGTTAACCCTTTAATAAGCATCTTTGTTTACATGTGAAAAGTGGACAAATTGAATATTCATGCATAAATGCAAATTTAAAGATCACGTAATCTTCTGTTTTGAGAGCATTCATCAAAATAATTGCATTTATTGGTATTAATCAGTCAGTTGGGGAATAAAAGTTTCGATCATCTTTGCTAAAGATGATTTTCGGCCTGTAAAAGAGTATTTGTAAGAGTAATTTGCATATTCGTGAAGTTTATTATGTTGCAAAAATTTTGTAGTGTCGAGTTTCCAAATCCGTTTAACTTTGATGATTCTTAATTCCTTGTGTGTTCCATTTTTCGTAATAGAGGACATCGAATCACCGATGACAAGTCGTCTGCCGCCTATCAATTCGAATTATTGTCTGTACTACGTTGATTGTCCGAGTCAGGTATGGAAACCCCTTTCGACCAGAAAATAAATGTTGTATACCTCGACGAAAGTCGCAGAACTCCTGTGCATCGTGCTGCTCTGGATGGTAAGCACGAACAGGTGGAAGAAAAAGTACGAGTCGCCTCTGGCCTGGATGACCAAGATGAACAAGAAAGGACCCCACTGCATGATGCGACCGAACACGGACACAGGTACCTTTGTCTGGTTTATCTCAAAGAGATTTAAGGTTAAGTGTCATAATGTGAAACGTATGATTCCGAACAAATGCCACAGTTGGTGAAGCCAAACACACTTTTCGTCCCCTTTGATTCTGATCAGCGAAAATAATACTTACTGTAAAATCTACAGGTTGCAGTGGATGCGTAGTTATTAACAAGAGGGTCTTGATGGGGTGTAGCTTTCACGGCTAACGCTTAAAAATATTGGCCAATCTATGGCTAATGGTTAAATTTTTATTCTTCACGGCTAACTCCATTTGGCCGATTGGCGGTCAATGGTTACCGCCATTGAGACCCTATTTCTAAAATCAAACGGTAGAATTCTCAAAAAGTTTTAAATTTAGCGATTTTAAAAGAATGATTAATTGATAAAGGGAAGTATAAGAATTGACAACTGAAGTAAATGAAAGGGCTACACTGGAAAAAATAAAGTAAGTTCATTGCTTTCTGTTGTATGAGAAACGGTGGCCAAAGGGTTGAAGTTCTGGTTTCTATCCTTGGCATGGTTGCTGTGTTGTGTTCCAGTACAAGACACTTGCATCTCCCACAGCGCCTTTCTCCAACAAAAGTTATATATGGGTACCGTTGAACTGTCAGAGAAACCTGACAAAACGTTATAGGGGTCAAGGGGGGAGGGGGGTAGCCCGAGATGGGCTATCATACCCTTCTGGGGGTATAGCCAATGCTTGTGCTTGCTCTATGCTACGGCTGCCACGATAAGTTTCGACTGACAGGGCACCAAACATGAGAGCAGATTTCATCCTTATTATTCTAAAGGGATAACTAATGTTACAAGTTCCCTTTTTTCACGAGGAATTGAATTTGAGACCATTAGTCTTTAATCCACCATTTCAACTGTTCGGTTGCGTTTTCTCTTGGAAAAAATGAAAATAATATTAAACATTGAACCCACACAAAGCGTAGATGTTTGAGTTTTCGTTTTCTACATGCAGGAAAGTTTGCCACACTCTGTTACAACATGGCGCTAACTCTTCTATGAAGGACAGAGAACACTGGACACCACTAATGAGTGCATCAGACCTGGGCAAGGAACAGTCGTGCCAAGATATACTCACTGTTAATCCCGAGACTGATGACGTGAATATGGATGGAGAAACAGCATTGCATATTGCGTGTAGGAGAGGAAATGTGGGTGTTGTCAATCTGCTAATGGATTACGGGGCAAGTTTGAATGTTTGTAACAAAGATGGTGTAACGTGTTTTGAGACAGCCGCCAAGTCAGGAAAGAGCGAAGTTGTGTTTGCAATGATAAAGCATAAAAGGTATGAACGATCTCTCCAGACTGAGCTGTTATCTATCAGTTAAACTCACAGTTTTAATGGCAGGAAGTGAGAGACTCGACTTGCACATGACAGCCGAAAAGTAAGAGTACAGAAGAGCGTAAGTAAAGTTGGGCAAGCTGGGCTATGAAACGGTCTCCTCTTCGTTTTGGTGCTACGATTAAGACGTTTTTCTTGCGTTATATTTTAAGATAGCTAAAAATGGTTAAGTAAATTTTCAAAACCAAGTCTTAGATGGAACGTAGCTTTAATGCCATTCTTTCCTCTGTTTTCTTGTATCCATGGAAATTTTAGACTCTTTCTCAAATAACAGTCGTAATTATTTTTCTGACACATAAGGTCACTTCAGCAGAGCCAAAGCCTCTTAGAAACACCCTTATGTTTAACCTTATGTAAGTTTCACCCCAAGCTAAGCTCGGTTCCCCCTTTTTTTTAATTGAATTGCAAAGTTTTACTAAAAATCTCAGACGAACTAACCCAGGATCTCCTGCACTTTGTTATAGCTGGAGATTTTTTGATACGTTTTGTTAAGGAAACACACGAAAAGTGTGTTAGTGTCCATTTATTAATAATTAGTATTTTAGGATAAACCTCTTTATGAGCCATCTTGAGCTTCCTTCCTCGGACAACCTAAAGAAAATCTGTCTAGGTTAAGATATAATTTCAAAATGTATTAGACTTAGGGGTCATATGATTGATTGAGTTTGGTCGGGCGCACTGGTAAATATTTGACTCTGACTCTGTTTTACTGCTTCTGAACAGATGGATGGAAATAATGGAACACAAGGATAAGAACGGCCTTACCCCCATGAAGCTTCTCATAAAACACTTCCCAGAGAGTGCACAGCTGGTCATGGATTACTGCATTGATCGATCAGAGACAGAAAGTTCCGATGATCCAAATTTTACCGTTACTTGCAACCTCCGTTTCCTAGACCCCACTCCTACTGACACTACTTACTTGAGAGAAAGCCTTTTCTTTGGACCGAGCACCATGGTGAAACACGAGCGTAGAGAATTACTCGATCATCCTTTGACACAGGTCTTGCTGAATAAGAAGTGGTCTTCTTTCGGGCGTTTGGTGTTCTTCTTTAACTTTATGTTCTATTTTGTCTTTGTTGTCATGATTACAGCTTTCTTAATCCGATTCATGCAGAACGGTGACAAAGAATTGGGAGATTATTTTATTTATGTATATCCAATAGCATTTTTACTTATAGGCGTCCAGTTCACCAAGGAAGTTATTGTAATACTTGTCCAGAGGCTTCAGTATTTCACCACTTTAAGCAATCTCACTGAATGGTTACTCTACAGTACGACGACTTCATTCATGGTGTCACTTTTCATTTTCGATCTAATATTTTCGTTATCCGGCCGTGATAAGCGTGATATTGTTTATCCACAATTCATCTGGGTGTTGGCTGCCATTTCGATTTTCCTTTGCTATGCGAACCTAGTCTTGGTTCTTCGTCGGTTGAGTCTGGTTGGAATCTATGTCACCATGTTTATAGAGGTCACTAAGTCGGTTTTAAAAGTACTTCTGATCTTCTTTGTCTTGTTCTTTGGGTTCTCCATGGTGTTCTACGTCCTCTTTAAATCAGAGGTAAGATGAAATAAGAGATAAGTGTGAATGTGAGTAAATTTGCTTCTGTTTGTGATTTATGTGAGTTTTTTCCCTTTTTTATCATGCTCGTAATCTAAAACTGAAAGTAAAAATATTCCTCATCCTGTACCTTTTCGCGCCGTTTATTGACTTGCTCAATAGCAACAAGCCTGACAGATTTGGTTACAGTAATTTTCAGTGCGCTTTGACGACATATAAAGCTCGCTCGGTCTCGTCAAGGGTATCTTGGAATCATGACTCAACTAAAATCGCCTCATTTATAGTAAACGAAATATACAGTAATAGTAAACAATTAACAAAAGTCCATTAAATTGTCCGGGTTTGCCATACGGATCGATTCCCTTCAGCAATACGGTTATGGAAAAGGAATGAGCATTGGCTATAGCGCTGAGAGTCTCTCGTATTTCCTCCACAGGAGTCGGTATTTAAGCATCTTGGATTTGCCTTACTGAAGGTGACAGTGATGACAATTGGAGAGGTTGACTTTGAAGGAAGATTCATGCGTTCCCAGAATATCACAAACGAGCCGACGTCTTCTCAGATAGCTTCTTTCGTTTTCCTCGGCTTGTTCTTAATTTTAATGACAATTGTACTGATGAACCTGCTGGTATGCATTAAGATAAGAAACTTTTCTGTAACTTTTAATAGTACTAGTTGGATGCATAAGTGTAAATCAACCAGCGTTCTATCACAAACGCAGTAGTCTTATTGGCTTCGCTACGCACTATCTATTTGACATATAGATCTCATGTTAACATGTGTCTATCCAGTGTGATATATTAACCTTTATTTAATAAGCTCAGTTATGCACGCACTCTGATTGGTTCTCACTTATGATCTATTGGAGGACAGACGTTTAGATGACTTCATCATTAAAACTTTTTTCCGTATATTTTTATTCTTTATTATATAAAACAAATAGGTTCCAAGTTGCCGTGCGTCTGTTCAGTAACAGATCACAGAGGACGTCAAAATGTGGTAAGAATTTTTTGACGTCCTCTGTGATCTGTTACTGAACAGACGCACGGCAACTTGGAATCTATTTGTTGATTAACCGCTAAGAGTGACTAGCATCTAATTTCTCCTTACAATATCACCACTCAATCACACATTGACGTCATGAGAATAAAGGAAATGATCACCAACTAAAGAAACTCTTGATTGTTAGACAAATTCTCCTTGTCAGCACCTTAGTAAATGTACAGAGAACAGTATGGAGAATATGAATACTGATGTCAGAGTGTAGAGGGTTAAGCTGAATTATGCGCGCATTTTGTCTGCTTCTTATTTACGATGTGTCGGTAGATATACATCCATAGATCACATCACCATTGATAATGTTTTTCTTTATCATATAAAACAAATAGATTCCATGTAGGCATGGATATGTTCAGTAACAGATCACAAAAGACCTCAAAATAAAGAAACAATGTCAATGACACACTCAGCTGTGCTTCATGTGCCACTTTTTGTCCTTACCACATTTTGACCTTATCTATGATCTATTACTGAACAGACGCTCGGCAACATAGAAACTTCCTGTGGAATACACCACAAATAACGTCAATTGTAGTTGAAACAAAAAATTGGAACACGGGACGCAACCGAGTATGTCACCGAGTCAAAATTTGTATTATCAAGACGCTTCCAGCGAATAAATCAAACTTAATGCTATAATTTGTAGGACGTTGATCACTGTTGCATGTTTCACCTACAGGTGGGTCTTGCCGTGGGTGATATCGACGCAATCCGACGCAATGCTGCGTTTAAAAGGATGGCTATGAAGGTCATGTATATCGCCAAGGTCGAAAACAGCTTCCCGAGGTGCATCTCGCGGCGTTTTCGCCATCCAGAAGTAAGTTTGCAGCCAAATCGTCGAACTCTGAGGAAAAGGTATGCCGTGAGTGCCATTCTAATCAAAAGTCACACGTAAATCTCAAAAATGTCAGAAAAATTCTAAAAAGCGGCTTTACAACTGATCAGGTAGAAGTTGTTATTTTGATCTAACACTATATTCTCGTCACTGATTGACAAGGAAATTTATAGCAACTTGGTGGGGGAAGTAACAATCACATCTTGGGAGTCAAATTAAGGATTAAAATGTTCACTTCACAAAATTATTTCTTTGTCTTCGATATCCAGGTTGATGCTTCTTCCTGGAATGGAGACATCCTCAGGCTTGGACTTTACTCCTCGCGCCAAAGAAGAACCGTTCTCTGGTGTAGTTTTGGATTATACTGAGATTAAGAAAAAGCTCGACCTTAATGAGAAACGCGTCGAAACATTGGTTGATACGATGGAGGCGCAAAACGCTCTGCTCAGAGAATTAGTAAAAAGGATTGATCCTGGGACCAAGATGGAAGAGAAGAGCATGGAAATGAAAGGACCGACTGTGGAACACGAGCATGGGAGCACATCAGCTTCAGGAGAGGAGTGGATCCTTAACGACCAGCAGCCACATGAGATTAAAACACAACCACACTTGTATAAATGTGGAAACATTACTAAGGTTTAGTTATATTGAGCAGCAAAATACTATCCTATACTCGTACTAGTGTCAGGTGTGAACACAGCGTTTTCAATTACGCGGAGAGCGGCTATGCAGATGTATAGAAAGAAAGAAAGAAATATCTGCAACGTGGATGCGAGTGTGCATTGGGTTATCCAAATAAGAATGAGTATGGTCAGTTGTTATGACTGGTGACCAGTCCTACCCATTTGCGGGGTCGACGCAATGCCGGAACTAGAATGTTCGAGAAGAATGGTTTCAGAAATAGAAAAATTCTCTTTCATATGTGAAACAAGATTCACTTAATTCCATTTACGCGTTCTTTTCAAATTTCATGTCGCCGTAGATAGAAGTAATTGATGTTAATGATAATGCATGCGAACATTCTGGAAATGTTTACATTTGTACCAATGTAGCACTATCAAATAGCCCCAGAGATTTATCGATTTCATAAATTCCAACTTTTACTCTCTCTCCCGATTTGCTTGATAAATTTAGGCGACAAATTTTAGGATTGGTCGCGCAAAACAGAAGTATAGTTTCCCTGCACTAACTAGTAGGGGCTTGATTAATGTAGAATAATGATTGAAGCTTAAATCACTTTATCATCTTTTCTCCTGTTACATGTCCATCAAACTGTTCAATGAAAAAAACCCTCCTGAAAATAATTTTTACCTTTAATTTAGATGTTGGGCATACATGAGGAATTCCCACTATTGCTGGTTTTTATTTTTGTGAAAAAGCTTTTAAAATCTCGCTTTTAATTCCAAGATAATGCAGTCGGATGTTTTAGAATTGCTCATTGTTTACTCAGTCAAGTCCAATCAAGTGATAAATTCAATCATCTTTGGAGCAATATCACCTTAGGTGGTTCGTAAATTGAATCTAAATTATGCAACTCACTTCCACAAGGAAACTAATGCATTCAATGGGCTACACAATTTCGCCACAAAAAGGTTTTTTTTCGTTTAGCGAAGCATTTTAAAAAAAGGTTTATTTTACTTGGTGCGAAAAAATCTGCTTTCAAGCAAAACTGTGCTAAAGATGATTTTTGGATGCTTTTTGGGTCTGCGCCCCTAAACCTTGGAATAATCTTCCAGAGCATATAAAATGTAGTTTAAATCTTACATCTTTTAAGAGCAACCTTAAAACTTATCTTTTCAAGCACTATTTTAATTTGTAGTTTTGCTCTAGTAATTTCCGAATTTATTATTTATTGCTTTAAACGTTTTATTGTAAAGCGCGTTAGAGCTTTAGAATAGGACGCTATAGAAATTTTTGTATTATTGTTATTATTATCATCCATATTCAAAATATTTCTGTTAACCTTTAATAAGCATCTTTGTTTACATGTGAAAAGTGGACAAATTGAATAATCATGCCTAAATACATGTTTAAAGATCACGTAATCTTCTGTTTTGAGAGTATTCAACAAAATAATTGCATTTATTGGTACTAATCAGTCAGTTAGGGAATAAAAGTTTCGATCATCTTTGTTAAAGATGATCTTTAGCCTGTAAAAGAGTATTTTGTTTGAATATGAAAACTTGAAATTTGCATATTGGTGAAGCCTATTATGTTGCAAAAATTTTGTAGCGCTGAGTTTTCGAATCCAATTAACTTTGAATATTCTTATTTCTTGTGTGCTCAATTTTTTTCGTGATAGAGGACATTGAGTCACCGATGACAAGTCGTCTGCCGCCTATGAATTCGAATTAATGTCTGTACTACGTTGATTGTCCGACTTAAGTATGGAAGCTTCTTTCGCGGACCAGAAAATAAATGTTGTATACCTGGACGAAAGTCGCAGAACTCCTGTGCATCGTGCTACTCTGGATGGTAAGCACGAACAGGTGGAAGAAAAAGTACGAGTCGCCTCTAGACTGGATGACCAAGATGAAAGGACCCCACTGCATGATGCAACCAAACACGGACACAGGTACCTTTGCCCGGTTTATCTCAAAGAGATTTAAGGTTAAGTGTTATAATGTGAAACGTATGATTCCGAACAAATGCCACAGTTGGTGGGGCCAAACACAGTTTTCGTCCCCTTTGATTCTGATCAGCGAAAATAATACTTTCAGTAAAATCTACAAGTTGCAATGGATGCGTAGTTATTAACAAGAGGGCCTTGATGGGGTGTAGCTTTTACGGCTAACGCTTAAAAATATTAGCCAATCTATGGCTAACGGTTAATATCTTTCCAATGTGGTCACCATAAATTTTTTTTACTGCTAACCTTTTCTTAAGACTAACGGTTAAAATTGTTGGTCTTTACACCTAACTTCATTTTGCCGATTGGCGACCAATGGTTACCGTCATTGAGACCCTATTTATGAAATCAAACTGTAGAATTCTTAAAAAGTTTTAAATTTGAAGATTTTTAAATAATGAATCAATGAAAAAAGGAAATATAAGAACTGACACCAACTGAAGTAAATGAAAGGGCTACACTGGAAAAAAAATAAAGTAAGTGAATTGCTTTCTGTTGTATGAGAAACGGTGGCCAAAGGGTTGACGCGCTGGGTTCTATCCTTGGCCTGGTTGCTGTGTTGTGTTCCAGTACAAGACATCTCCCAAAGGGCCTAAGGGTGAAGGGGGATAGCCTAGGATGGGCCATCATACCCTTCTGGGGGTATAACCAATACTTGTGGTTGCTCTATGCCACGGAAGCTACGGTACGTTTCGACTCTCTAAGCACCAAACATAAGAGCAGATTTTATCTTAATATTCTAAAAGGATAACTACTGTTACAAGTTCCCTTTTTTCACGAGGAATTGAATTTTAGACCATTAGTCTTGAATCCAGCATTGCAACTGTTCGGTTACGTTTTCTCCTGGAAAGATGATAATAAGATTAAACATTGAACTCACACAAAGCGTGGATGTTTGGGTCTTCGTTTTCTACATGCAGGAAAGTTTGCTATACTCTGTTACAACATGGCGCTAACTCTTCTTTCAAAAACAGAGAACACTGGACACTACTTATGAGTGCGGCAGACCTGGGCAAGGAACAGTCGTGCCAAGATATACTCACTGTTAATCCCGAGACTGATGACGTGAACATGGATGGAGAAACAGCATTGCATATTGCGTGTAGGAGAGGACATGTGAGCGTTGTCAACCTGCTGATGGATCACGGGGCAAGTTTGAATGTTTGTAACAAAGATGGTGTAACGTGCTTTGAGGCCGCCGCCAAGGCAGGAAAGAGCGAAGTTGTGTTTGCAATGATAAAGCATAAAAGGTATGAATGGTTACCCCGGACTGAACTGGTATCTACCATTTAAATTCAAAGTTTTAATTGCAGGAAGTAGGAGACTCGACTTGCACATGGCAACCGAAAAGTAAGAGTAGAGAAGAGCATTACGAAAGTTGGGCAAGCTGGGCGATGAAAACATCGGTCTCTTCTTCGTTTTGGCGCTACGATTAAGACGTTTTCTTTGCTTCTAAGATAGCTAAAAATGGTAAAATAAATTTTCAAAACCAAGTCTTAGATGGAACGTAGCTTTAGTGCCATTCTTTCCTCTGTTATCTTGTATCAATGGAAATTCTCGACTCTTTCTCAAAAAGCAGTCGTGATCATTTTTCTGACACAGAGAGCCAAAGCCTCTCAGAAACACTCTTATGTTTAACCTTATGTAAGCCTCACCCAAAACTTAGTTCGGTTCCCCCTTTTTCTAAATCGAATTGCCAAGCTTTAATACAAATCTCAGATAAATACCACCCAGGATCTCCTGCACTTTGTTATAGCTGGAGATTTTTTGATACGTTTTGTTAGGGAAACACACGAAAAGTGTGTTAGTGTCCATTCATTAATAATTAGTATTTTAGGATAAACCTCTTCATGAGCCATCTTGAGCTTCCTTTCTTGGACAACCGAAAGAAAATCTGTTTAGGTTAAGGCACAATTTCAAGATTTGTTAGACTTAGGGGTCAAATGATTTATTGAGTTTGGTCGGGCGGACGGGTAGATATTTGATTCTGACTTTGTTTTATTGCTTCTGAACAGATGGATGGAAATAATGGAACACAAGGATAAGAACGGCCTTACCCCCATGAAGCTTCTAATAAAACACTTCCCAGAGAGTGCACAGCTGGTCATGGATTACTGCATTGATCGATCAGGGACAGAAAGTTCTGATGATCCAAATTTTACCATCACTTGCAATCTCCGTTTCTTAGACCCCAGTCCTACTAACGCTATTTGCCAGAGAGGAAGCCGTTTCTTTGGACCGAGCACCATGGTGAAACACGAACGTAGAGAATTACTCGAGCATCCTTTGACACAGGTCTTGCTGAATAAGAAATGGTCTTCTTTCGGGCGCTTAGTGTTCTACTTTAACTTTATGTTCTATTTTGTCTTTGTTGTCATGTTTACAGCTTTCTTAATCCGATTCATGCAAAACAGTGATAAAGGATCGGGAGATTTTTTTATGTATTCAATAGTATTTTTACTTATATTTGTCCAGTTCACTAAGGAAGTTATTGCAATACTTGTCCAGAGGTTTCGTTATTTCACCACTTTAAGCAATCTCACTGAATGGATACTCTACAGTACGACGCTTTTATTCATAACGTTACTTCTCATTTTCGATCTGATAATTTCGTTATTCAACCCTGAGAAGCGTCATAATTTTTACCCACAATTAATCTGGGTGTTGGGTGCCATTTCGATTTTCCTTTGCTATGCGAACCTAGTCTTGGTTCTTCGTCGGTTGAGTCTGGTTGGAATCTATGTCACCATGTTTATAGAGGTCACTAAGTCGGTTTTAAAAGTACTTCTAATCTTCTTTGTCTTGTTCTTTGGGTTCTCCATGGTGTTCTACGTCCTCTTTAAATCAGAGGTAAGATAAAATAAGAGATAAATGTGTATATGAGTAAATTTGCTTCTGTTTGTGATTTATGTGAGTTTTTTCCATTTTTAGTGAGTAAAAATAAATAAATATATTCCCCATCCTGTACCTTTTCGCGCCGTTTATTGACTCGCTCAATAGCAACAAGCCTGAAAGATTTGGTTACAGTAATTAATTATAATGTCACCGGATTTTGGGCTCAATATGGGTGCAGCAAATGCCTAATCGTACCTTTTCAGTGCGCTTTGACGACACATAAAGCTCGCTCGGTCTTGTCAAGGGGTACCTTGGAATCATGACTCAACTAAAATCGCTTCATCTTCTAACGGAGCGCGCCAAAAAGGTTCGATTAAGGATGATATAACGTTATAGTAAGCGAAATATGCAATAACGATAAACAATAAACAACTCCTAAGATCTGATTGTTAATTCTCCCCTCTAGCTGCTACACATTTCCTTTTAAATTAGTTAAGAGAATATGGTGTTAGAATAGGAAAAACAACTTTTGTATGATAAGTTTATTCTCATTACCTGTTTGCTAGACAGTTTATGGATATTACACGGAGAAGTAACCTCTCCATCACCTCTGGGAGTTAAAGGGCTAAAGCGCTGAGAGTCTCTCGTATTTCCTCCACAGGAGGTGGTATTTAAACAACCGGGATTTTCTTTACTGAAGGTGGTAGTGATGACAATTGGAGAGGTTGACTTTGAAGACAGATTCATGCATTCCCAGAATATCACAAACGAGCCGACATTTTCTCAGACAGCTTCTTTCGTTTTCCTCGGCTTGTTCTTGATTTTAATGACCATTGTACTGATGAACCTGCTGGTATGCATTAAGATAACAAACTTATTTGTAACTTTTAATACTACTAGTTGGATGCACAAGTATAAATGAAGCAGCGTTCTATCACAAACGCAGTAGTCTTATTGGCTTCACCACTCATTATCTATTTGACATATGGATCCCATCTTAACATGTGTCTATTCAGTGTGATATATTAACCATTTAGCCCCTAAGAGTGACTAGCATCTAATTTCTACTTACAATATCACCACTGAATTACACATTAATGTCATGAGAGTAAAGGAAATAATCACCAACTAAAGAAACTCTTGATTGTTAGACAAATTCTCCTTGTCAGCACCTGAATACTGATATCAGAGTGTAGAGGGTTAAGCTGAATTATGCGCGCATTTTGTCTGCTTCTTACTTACGATGTATCGGTAGATATACATCCATAGATGACATCACCATTGACAATTTTTTTCTTTATCGTATAAAACATACAGATTCCATGTAGGTATGGGTATGTTCAGTAACAGATCACAAAAGACCTCAAAATAAAGAAACAACGTCAGTGACACGCTCGGCTGCGCCTCATGAGCCACTTTTTTGTCCTTACCACATTTTGACCTCATCTGTGATCTGTTACTGAGCAGACGCTCGGCAACATAGAACCTTCCTGTGGAATACACCACAAATAACGTCAATTGTAGTTGAAACAAAAAATTGGAACACGGGACGGAACCGAGTGTGCCACCGACTCAAAATTCGTATCATCAAGACGCTTCCATGTAAGAAATCAAACTTAGTGCTACAATTTGTAGGACGTTGATCACGGTTACATGTTCACCTACAGGTGGGTCTTGCCGTGGGTGATATCGACGCGATCCGCCGCAATGCTGCGTTTAAAAGGATGGCTATGCAGGTCATGTATATCGCCAAGGTCGAAAACAGCTTCCCGAGGTGCATCTCGCGGCGTTTTCGCCATCCAGAAGTAACTTTGCAGCCAAATCGTCGAACTCTAAGGAAAAGGTATGCCGTCAGTACCATTCTGATTAAAAGTCACTCGTTAATCTCAAAATGTCAGAAAAATTCTAAAAAGCGACTTTACAACGACTCTGTCAATGTCTACTTCTCTTTAATATCTTTACCATACATTATCCAGTCAACAGTCAACGAGAAAACTGAGCAGTTAGAAATTATTATTTTGATCTAACACTACATTCTCGTCACTGATTGACAGGAAAATTTATAGCAACTTGAGGGGAGAAGTAACAATCACATCTTGGGAGTCAAATTAAGGGTTAAAATGTTCACTTCACAAAATTATTTCTTTGTCTTCGATATCCAGGTTGATGCTTCTTCTTGGAATGAAGACATCTTCGGGCTTGGACTTTACTCCTCGCGCCAAAGAAGAACCGTTCTCCGGTGTAGTTTTGGGTTATACTGAGATTAAGAAAAAGCTTGACCTTACTGAGAAACGCGTCGAAACATTGGTTGATACGATGGAGGCGCAAAACGCTCTGCTCAGAAAATTAGTAAAAAAGATTGATCCTGGAACCAAGATGGACGAGGAGAGCATGGAAATGTAAGGATCGACTGTGGAACACGAGCATGGGAGCACATCAGCTTCAGGAGGGGAGTGGAACCTTGACGACCAGCAGCCACATGAGATTAAAATACAACCACACTTGTACAAATGTGGAAAGATTACTAACGTTTAGTTATATTAAGCAGCAAAATACTATCCTATACTTGTAAGAGTGTCAGGTGTGAACACAGCGTTTTCAATCACGCGGAGAGCGGCTATGCAGATGTATAGAAAGAAGGAAAGAGTTATCTGCAACGTGGGTGCGAGTGTGCGTTGGTTTATCCAAATAAGAATGAGCATGGTGAGTTGTTATGACTGGTGACCAGTCCTACCCATTTGCAGGGTCGACGCAATGCCGAAACTCGGAATGTTCGAGAAGAATGGTTTCAGAAACAGAAAAATTCTCTTTCATATGTGAAAGAGGATTCACTTCCATTTACGCGTTCTTTTCAAATTTCATGTCGCCGTTGATAGAAGTAATTGATGATAATGATAATGCATGCGAACATTCTGGACATGTTTATATTTGCACAAATGTAGCACTATCAAATAGCCCCAGAGATTTATCGATTTCATAAATTCAACTTTTACTCTCTCTCCCGATTTGCTTGCTAAATTTAGGCGCTAAATTTTAGAATTGGTCGCGCAAAACAGAAGTATGGTTTCCCTGCACTAACTAATAGGGGTTTGATTAATGCAGAATAATGATTGAAGCTTATATCCCTTTGTCACCTTTTCTCCTGTTACATGTCCATCAAACTGTTCAATGAAAAAAACCCTCCTTTAATTTAGATGTTGGGCATACATGAGGAATTCCCACTATTGCTGGTTTTTATTTTTGTGAAAAAGCTCTTAAAATCTCGCTTTTAATTCCAAGATAATGCAGTCGGATGTTTTAGAATTGCTCATTATTTACTCAGTCAAGTCCAATCAAATGATAAATTCAATCATCTTTGGAGCAATATCGCCTGAGGTGGTTCGTAAATTGAATCAAAATTATGCAACTCACTTCCACAAGAAAACTAATGCATTCAATGGGCTACACATTTTCGCCACAAAAAGGTTTTTTTTGTTGTTCAGCGAAGCATTTTAAAAAAAGGTTTATTTTACTTGGTGCGAGAAAATCTGCTTTCAAGCAAAACTGTGCTAAAGATGATTTTTGGATGCTTTTTGGATTTGCGCCCCTAAACCTTGGAATAATCTTCCAGAGCATATAAAATGTAGTTTAAATCTTACATCTTTTAAGAGCAACCTTAAAACTTATCTTTTCAAGCACTATTTTAATTTGTAGTTTTGCTCTAGTAATTTCCGAATTTATTATTTATTGCTTTAAACATTTTATTGTAAAGCGCGTTAGAGCTTTAGAATAGGACGCTATAGAAATTTTTGTATTATTGTTATTATTATCATCCATTTCAAAATATTTCTGTTAACCTTTAATAAGCATCTTTGTTTACATGTGAAAAGTGGACAAATTGAATAATCATGCCTAAATACATGTTTAAAGATCACGTAATCTTCTGTTTTGAGAGTATTCAGCAAAATAATTGCATTTATTGGTACTAATCAGTCAGTTAAGGAATAAAAGTGTCGATCATCTTTGTTAAAGATGATCTTTAGCCTGTAAAAGAGTATTTTGTTTGAATATAAAAACTTCAAATTTGCATATTGGTGAAGTCTATTATGTTGCAAAAATTTTGTAGCGTTGAGTTTTCGAATCCAATTAACTTTGAATATTCTTATTTCTTGTGTGCTCAATTTTTTCGTGATAGAGGACATTGAGTCACCGATGACAAGTCGTCTGCCGCCTATGAATTCGAATTAATGTCTGTACTACGTTGATTGTCCGACTTAAGTATGGAAGCTTCTTTCGCGGACCAGAAAATAAATGTTGTATACCTGGACGAAAGTCGCAGAACTCCTGTGCATCGTGCTACTCTGGATGGTAAGCACGAACAGGTGGAAGAAAAAGTACGAGTCGCCTCTAGACTGGATGACCAAGATGAAAGGACCCCACTGCATGATGCAACCAAACACGGACACAGGTACCTTTGCCCGGTTTATCTCAAAGAGATTTAAGGTTAAGTGTTATAATGTGAAACGTATGATTCCGAACAAATGCCACAGTTGGTGGGGCCAAACACAGTTTTCGTCCCCTTTGATTCTGATCAGCGAAAATAATACTTTCAGTAAAATCTACAAGTTGCAATGGATGCGTAGTTATCAACAAGAGGGCCTTGATGGGGTGTAGCTTTTACAGCTAACGCTTAAAAATATTAGCCAATCTATGGCTAACGGTTAATATCTTTCCAATGTGGTCACCATAATTTTTTTTTACTGCTAACCTTTTCTTAAGACTAACGGTTAAAATTGTTGGTCTTTACACCTAACTTAATTTTGCCGATTGGCGACCAATGGTTACCGCCATTGAGACCCTATTTATAAAATCAAACTGTAGAATTCTTAAAAAGTTTTAAATTTGAAGATTTTTAAATAATGAATCATTGAAAAAAAGGAAATATAAGAACTGACACCAACTGAAGTAAATGAAAGGGCTACACTGGAAAAAAAATAAAGTAAGTGAATTGCTTTCTGTTGTATGAGAAACGGTGGCCAAAGGGTTGACGCGCTGGGTTCTATCCTTGGCCTGGTTGCTGTGTTGTGTTCCAGTACAAGACATCTCCCACAGGGCCTAAGGGTGAAGGGGGGGGGATAGCCCAGGATGGGCCATCATACCCTTCTGGGGGTATAACCAATACTTGTGGTTGCTCTATGCCACGGAAGCTACGGTACGTTTCGACTCTCTAAGCACCAAACATAAGAGCAGATTTTATCTTAATATTCTAAAAGGATAACTACTGTTACAAGTTCCCTTTTTTCACGAGGAATTTAATTTTAGACCATTAGTCTTGAATCCAGCATTGCAACTGTTCGGTTGCGTTTTCTCCTGGAAAGATGATAATAAGATTAAACATTGAACTCACACAAAGCGTGGATGTTTGAATCTTCGTTTTCTACATGCAGGAAAGTTTGCTATACTCTGTTACAACATGGCGCTAACTCTTCTTTCAAAAACAGAGAACACTGGACACTACTTATGAGTGCGGCAGACCTGGGCAAGGAACAGTCGTGCCAAGATATACTCACTGTTAATCCACAGACTGATGACGTGAACATGGATGGAGAAACAGCATTGCATATTGCGTGTAGGAGAGGACATGTGAGCGTTGTCAACCTGCTGATGGATCACGGGGCAAGTTTGAATGTTTGTAACAAAGATGGTGTAACGTGTTTTGAGGCCGCCGCCAAGGCAGGAAAGAGCGAAGTTGTGTTTGCAATGATAAAGCATAAAAGGTATGAATGGTTACCCCGGACTGAACTGGTATCTACCATTTAAATTCAAAGTTTTAATTGCAGGAAGTAGGAGACTCGACTTGCACATGGCAACCAAAAAGTAAGAGTAGAGAAGAGCATTACGAAAGTTGGGCAAGCTGGGCGATGAAAACATCGGTCTCTTCTTCGTTTTGGCGCTACGATTAAGACGTTTTCTTTGCTTCTAAGATAGCTAAAAATGGTAAAATAAATTTTCAAAACCAAGTCTTAGATGGAACGTAGCTTTAGTGCCATTCTTTCCTCTGTTTTTTCGTATCCATGGAAATTCTCGACTCTTAGCATATCGGCGCGAAATTAGCATATCGGCGCCAATCATGGCGGCCACGTTTAGAGTAGCTCTAGTTTCTATCACTATTCTATCCTGTTTAAGCGCTGCATTTCTAAACCATTTATTATCCTTCGAGGCTACCTTTAAATCAAGGTGGGAACCCCTGCACACTGCTGTTCAACTCAAGAAGAAATGCACTTATATCGTCAAAGATGGTTTTCATCGATCAAGAGTTCCAATACAGAAGCACACTAAACACGGGTTTGTCTCCTTAGTCATCCCTGGCCACGACCCTCCATTGGACATCACGGTATACGTTGATATTTCGACCAACCCCGGTCCTGCTCAATCTATTATCGCCATTGGTAGCCGGCAGAGAGCCACTAGAGATTTAATTCGGCAGCTTGATTCTCCAATTCGCCAAACAACGACCCTACAGTACTCTCGGCGCGAACTGGTGTCGCTCCGGAAAAATTACAGCCTTCAGGAGAGACGGTCAGTTTTATTTAAGAACATTCGAGCGGATGGAATTTTTTAAGTACCGAGGGAAACGGTCCGGAAGACTTACTAAAACACAATTAAATACAGGCCGAAGCAAATATTCTTCAGAAACGAATGAATTTTCAACCTTGAATAATTATTCACAGTCGAACAATCACACCTTACCGGGGCTTTCAGTAATTCCCGTGAGAACAACCACACGCGCCATCTCCAGTAGTTACACAAGACCAAGAACTGTTAATTGCTATAACTCTTCCATCTTGAATGAATCTTTACGGTTCAATAATCACGCTTTACCGAGACTTTCAACAATTCCCGTGAGAGTAACTACGCGTGTTTCCTCCAGCCGTTACACAGAAGAAAGAGCCGTCAATTTCAATAGAGAAACATCGACGCCAGGAAAAACACCTTGCAGTTCGTACCGCCAATAGCTGTGTCTAATGTAATGAGTTTGGCACCAAAAATAGACGAACTTCGTATTTTTTTGAACACCCACGAGTTTGATCTTTGTTGTATAACGGAGACATGGCTGAAAGATTCTATTGATGACAGCGTAGTTGACATTAGTGGCTACAACATCATACGCAAAGATAGGACCCACAAGCTACATGGGGGTGTGGCTCTATATGTAAAAGATTCCATCAAATTCTCAATTCTACGGGACTATGAGTTTCCTGACCCCGAGGGCCCTGAGGTTTTGTGGGCCAAAATCACGCCCAACCGATTGCCCCAGGGTTATAGCTGCCTTATCATTGGTACAGTATACCATCCTCCACCGCCTGCCAAAGATGAGCCCCTCCTTGATTACATGATGGATTCTCTCTCTAGGATAGAGAGTG